CGAGAGATTGAACAATCAAAACATCGAAACATCCGAATCTCAATAAATTGAGATCTCAAAAAATTTAAAAATTCGGAAATTTGAAAAATTAAAATATAGAACTGGAAACTCGAGCAACCGAAAATCTAAAATTTAAAAATCGAAAAACTGAAAAATCAACGAAAGAGAAGTCGAAAATTGAAAAAATCGAAAAATTGAAAAATCGAAAGTACAAAAAATGAAAAACTGAAAAATCAAAGAATCGAAGTATTGAAAAATATCAAAACTGAAATAAATGTCCAAAAATTGAGAAATCGAAAAACCAATAAAACGAAGTCGAAAAATCGAAGAATTGAAGAACTGAAAAATCGAGAGAAGTGGGAAAATCAAAAATAGCTTCTTTGAGAAATCAGAAAACTGGAAAATTTAACGGAAAAATTTGAAAAATTGAAAAATTTAAATACTGAAGAACTGAAAAGTCAAAAAATCGAGAAATCGAAAAACCTAAAATTTAAAACATTGAACAATTAAAATATCGCGAAACTGAAGAATCGAGAAATCCAATTCAATTTAAAAAATTAAAAAATTGAAAAATCGGGACATTGAAAAATTGGAAAATCCAGAAATTGAAAAGCTCAAAAGAAAAAAATCGAAAAACCGAGAAATCCAAAAATCGAAACATCGAAAAATTCAAAAACTGAGACATCGAGAAATCGAAAAATCGGAGGATCGAGATATCGAGGACTCGGAAGCCGAAACGGAAAGTTAAAAATTGAAAAATTGATAAATTGAGAAATTGAACAATCAAACCAACGAAACATCTGAATTCGATAAATTGAGAAATTAAAAAATTGAATAATCGAAAAATTTTAATAAAAGGAAAACTGGAAAATCGAAAATTAAAATTAAAAAAATCGAAAAATTGAAATATAGAAGAATTGAAAACTCGAGATATCGAAAAACCTAGAATTTTAAAAAATGAAATATTCATCGAAGAGTTGAAAAATTGAGAAATCGAAGTATAAAACAGTCGCAGAAAAGTTAAAATATCCTAAAACTGAAAAATGGAGAAATCCAAACATCAAAAAATCAAAAAAATAAAAATTCGAAAATCTAAAATTTAAAAATCGAAAAACTGAAAAATCAACGAATAGAGAAGTCGAAAATTGAAAAAATTGGAAAATTGAAAAATCGGATAAATCAAAAATCGAAACATCGAAAAATCGAGAAACCGAAAAGCAAAAAATCGAAAAACCAACAAATCGAAAAATGGAAACATCGTAAAATTCAAAAATTGAGACATCGAGAAATCGAAAAATCAAAAGACCAAAAAATCTAGGAGTGGAAAAATTGAAAAATTGGGAAACCGAAATAGGCCAAAAATATGGAAAAATTGATAAAGCGAGAGATTGAACAATCAAAACATCGAAACATCCGAATCTCAATAAATTGAGATCTCAAAAAATTTAAAAATTCGGAAATTTGAAAAATTAAAATATAGAACTGGAAACTCGAGAAACCGAAAAATCCAAAAATTTAAAAATTAAAATATAGAAAAGTTGAAAAATTGAGAAATTGAAATATAAAACAATCGAAAAATTGAAAAATCTAAAGTATTAAAAATGAAAAACTGAAAATCCAAAAATAAAAAATCGAAAATTTAGAAGTCGAAGAATCGAAGTATTGAAAAGCATCAAAACTGAAAGAAAATCCAAAAATTGAGAAATCGAAAAACCACTAAAGCGAAGTCGAAAAATCGAAGAATTGAAGAACTGAAAAATCGAGAGAAGTGGGAAAATCAAAAATTGAAAAATTTAAATACTGAAGAACTGAAAGTCAAAAAATCGAGAAATCGAAAAATCTAAAATTTAAAACATTGAAAAGTTAAAATATCCTAAAACTGAAAAATGGAGAAATCCAAACATCAAAAAATCAAAAAAATAAAAGTTCGAAAATCTAAAATTTAAAAATCGAAAAAGTGAAAAATCAACGAATAGAGAAGTCGAAAATTGAAAAAATTGGAAAATTGAAAAATCGGATAAATCAAAAATCGAAACATCGAAAAATCGAGAAACCGAAAAGCAAAAAATCGAAAAACCAACAAATCGAAAAATGGAAACATCGTAAAATTCAAAAATTGAGACATCGAGAAATCGAAAAATCAAAAGACCAAAAAATCTAGGAGTGGAAAAATCGAAAAATTGGGAAACCGAAATAGGCCAAAAATATGGAAAAATTGATAACGCGAGAGATTGAACAATCAAAACATCGAAACATCCGAATCTCAATAAATTGAGATCTCAAAAAATTTAAAAATTCAGAAATTTGAAAACTTAAAATATAGAACTGGAAACTCGAGAAACCGAAAAATCCAGAAATTTAAAAATTAAAATATGGAAAAGTTGAAAAATTGAGAAGTTGAAATATAAAACAATCGAAAAATTGAAAAATCGAAAGTATAAAAAATGAAAAACTGAAAATCCAAAAATAAAAAATCGAAAATTTAGAAGTCGAAAAATCGAAGAATCGAAGTATTGAAAAGCATCAAAACTGAAAGAAAATCCAAAAATTGAGAAATCGAAAAACCACTAAAGCGAAGTCGAAAAATCGAAGAATTGAAGAACTGAAAAATCGAGAGAAGTGGGAAAATCAAAAATAGAAAAATTTAAATACTGAAGAACTGAAAAGTCAAAAAATCGAGAAATCGATAAATCTAAAATTTAAAACATTGAAAAGTTAAAATATCCTAAAACTGAAAAATGGAGAAATCCAAACATCAAAAAATCAAAAAAATAAAAATTCGAAAATCTAAAATTTAAAAATCGAAAAACTGAAAAATCAACGAATAGAGAAGTCGAAAATTGAAAAAATTGGAAAATTGAAAAATCGGATAAATCAAAAATCGAAACATCGAAAAATCGAGAATCCGAAAAGCAAAAAATCCAAAAACCAACAAATCGAAAAATCGAAACATCGTAAAATTCAAAAATTGAGACATCGAGAAATCGAAAAATCAAAAGACCAAAAAATCTAGGAGTGGAAAAATTGAAAAATTGGGAAACCGAAATAGGCCAAAAATATGGAAAAATTGATAAAGCGAGAGATTGAACAATCAAAACATCGAAACATCCGAATCTCAATAAATTGAGATCTCAAAAAATTAAAAAATTCGGAACTTTGAAAAATTAAAATATAGAACTGGAAACTCGAGAAACCGAAAAATCCAGAAATTTAAAAATTAAAATATGGAAAAGTTGAAAAATTGAGAAATTGAAATATAAAACAATCGAAAAATTGAAAAATCGAAAGTACAAAAAATGAAAAACTGAAAAATCAAAGAATCGAAGTATTGAAAAATATCAAAACTGAAATAAATGTCCAAAAATTGAAAAATCGAAAAACCAATAAAACGAAGTCGAAAAATCGAAGAATTGAAGAACTGAAAAATCGAGAGAAGTGGGAAAATCAAAAATAGCTTCTTTGAGAAATCAGAAAACTGAAAATTTAACGGAAAAATTTGAAAAATTGAAAAATTTAAATACTGAAGAACTGAAAAGTCAAAAAATCGAGAAATCGAAAAACCTAAAATTTAAAACATTGAACAATTAAAATATCGCAAAACTGAAGAATCGAGAAATCCAATTCAATTTAAAAAATTAAAAAATTGAAAAATCGGGACATTGAAAAATTGGAAAATCCAGAAATTGAAAAGCTCAAAAGAAAAAAATCGAAAAACCGAGAAATCCAAAAATCGAAACATCGAAAAATTCAAAAACTAAGACATCGAGAAATCGAAAAATCGGAGGATCCAGATATCGAGGACTCGGAAGCCGAAACGGAAAGTTAAAAATTGAAAAATTGATAAATTGAGAAATTGAACCAACGAAACATCTGAATTCGATAAATTGAGAAATTAAAAAATTGAATAATCGAAAAATTTTAATAAAAGAAAAACTGGAAAATCGAAAATTAAAATTAAAAAATCGAAAAATTGAAAAATAGAAGAATTGAAAACTCGAGATATCGAAAAACCTAGAATTTAAAAAAATGAAATATTAAAACATCAAAGAGTTGAAAAATTGAGAAATCGAAGTATAAAACAGTCGCAGAATTGAAAAATCTAAAGTTTACAATAAATTGAAAATCCAAAAAGTAAAAAATCGAGAAATCAAAAAAAAACCGTCAATTCAAAAATCAAAAAATTGAGAAATTAAAAAATTGAAAAATTGAGAAATCGAAAATCTAAAAAAGCAAAATCGAAAAATCGTAAGCTTAAAAAATCGAAAAATTGAAGAATTGAAGATGTGAAAAATCGAAAAACCGAAAATTTAGAAACGTGAAAATTTGAAAAATTGAAATATTTAAAAACCGTAAAATTGAAGAGGACAAAAATGGAGAAATCGTATTATTGAAACATCGAAAAATAAAAAAATCGAGAAATGGAAAATTTGAAGAATGGAAGAATTGGAAAAGCCCAAAATTGAAATCTTGAAAAATTGAGACATTTAAAGTTGAAAAATCGAGAAGTCGAAAAGCCGAAAAATCTCGATAGCCTATTTATAAATCACAAGATCAGGACTATGCTACATTTTAAAATTTAAATAACATTATAAATTGGAAAATGTTGATTTTTTTCCAAAAATCTTGATGTCTAAGGTGAAAACTCGACACGGATGCATAAACCGTAAACGGAGGATATACTATTGTAAAATTTGGAGATTGCGTCATTTTATTCTTGGTGACACATTTTGGTGAGTGTTTTACCATTTGATAACATAATTTGAAATGTAAATTTTGTCATTCGGGAACATTATGTATTAAATCGTTAAGATGTTCAATTATTGGCTCACTGTAGTGAAAATGCGCGTTGATGAAAAATTTGTCCCACGCCCCCTGGATTCCTTGTCCTAAAGCTCACTATTTAGGCGAAGTAAAATTTGTATTAGGTTGTCCAACTATAATATACTTAAACAATGCTACTATATATGTACACGAAATTCAATTACTAATAATAATAATAGGTACTAACTACTGTCAATGATCAAGACACCGTAGTCCGTGGATTGTACGCTTGCGGCGAAGCCGCCTCCTCCTCAGTCCACGGCGCCAACCGCCTCGGCGCTAACTCCCTCCTCGATCTAGTGGTCTTCGGGCGCGCCTGCGCCAAGACGATAGCCGAGGAACACAAACCCGGAGAGAGCATCGGTTCCATCAAAGAAGTACTCTTTGAACACAGTCAAAACCCAACCTAACCTAACTTTTCAGAACGCCGGTGAAGCCTCCGTGGCAAACCTTGATTGGTGTCGCCATGCCAACGGTTCCATCCCCACCGCCAACTTGCGTTTGCAGATGCAGAAGACCATGCAGACACACGCCGCTGTTTTCCGGACGGAAGAAACCCTCAAAGAAGGCTGCGCCAAAATGGACAAACTCTATTCTAACCTCAAAGATTTGAAGGTTTCCGACAGTAGTTTGATCTGGAATTCCGACCTGGTGGAGACGCTCGAGCTACAGAATTTGATGTTGAACGCGGTCCAGACGATCGTGGGGGCGGAAAACAGGAAGGAGTCGCGAGGGGCGCATGCGCGCGAGGATTACAAGACTAGGATTGACGAGTATGACTACAGTAAGCCGGTTGAGGGGCAGCAGAAGAAGCCGTTTGATCAACACTGGCGTAAACATACGCTGACCACCGTCGACGAGAAGACGGGGAAAGTCAGTATTAGGTACAGGCCGGTGATTGACCACACGTTGGATAGCAACGAGTGCGCTACGGTTCCTCCGGCGATTCGGTCGTACTAGGGACGAAGATTCTCATATTTTTGTGATCAATGAGGAGTATTGTGCGAAGATCTTGCGCGAGCAGCGATTGAAAATCTTAAGTTTGAACAAGTATTGCAAAGTAGGATAGATCGTAATTTATTTCAACTGATCTACTTAAGTAAATTATTTAATTATGTAAGGATGAAAGTAAGCCCATTGTGACGCTTCATGTGAATCAATAAAAATGAATTTAATTAATACGTCGTGATTTTTTTTTACCCCCGTAGCGACGTGGTTGCTCCGCCTATGGTATTTGAGTGATTACGTCACTATCATTGTGTCTTTGTCTAACCCACACAAATGCCATTTGTACATCGCACCGAAAAACAGGAAAATAAAAAAAAACACGAAATTGAGAAACTGAAAAATCTACAAACTGAGTTCTCGAAAAATTGAAACATCGAAAAATCAAAACATGAGAAGATCAAGAAATCGAAAATTCAGAGTCGAAAAATCTAGAAATCGAAAACTTGGTAACTGAAATACTGAAAAATTTATATTAAAAAAAATCAATAAATCGAAAAATCGGAAAATTGAAAAATTGGAAAACTTTGCAACACAAAAATGAAACATTGAAACCTCGATAAATCGAGCAATCGTAGAATTAAAAAATCGACAAAATGAAAAATTGAGATATTAACAAAAAATAAAATAAAATTTTGAATTTTAGCAATCAAAAAATTGAAAAATCTAAAACCGAAAAGTTGAAAATCGAAAAACCAACAAAAAATGTAAAAATTTAAAATTTTTAAACAAGGAAAAATTGACAGAAAAATTGAAGAACTGAAAAATCCAAAACTTCAAAATTTAAAATATCGACAAATTAAAATATCGAAAATTGAAGAAATGAAAACAACAAAAAATAGAAAAATCAAATATTTAAAAAATTGAAAAATGCTAAAAATAAAAAAACGGAAAATCAGAAAATCAAAAAATTGCAACAACGAAAAATCGAAGAGTCGAAAAATGGAAAAAAATCTAGAAATTGAAAGGTCTAAAATCGAAAAATTAGTAACTGAAATAAAATTAAATTAAAAAAAAAATAGATAAATCCAAAAACCGGAAAACTGAACAACAGAAAAATGAAACATTGAAATCTCGATTAATCGAGCAAGCGTAAAATTGAAAGATCGATAAACTGAAAAATTCAAAAATCATAAACCGAGAAGTTGAAAATTGAGAAACCGACACATCAAAAAATTTATAAATCCAAAATTTTAAAAACACGAAAAATTGACATAGAAAAGTTGAAGAACTGAAAAATCGAAAAATTGAGAAATCGAAAAATTCCCAAACTGAAACATTGAAAATTTGAGAAATAGAAAAGTCGACAAATCGACAATTTAAAAAATCTAAAAATTGAGAAACTCCAAAAATTGAGAATTCGAATATTATTCGAAAGTCTAAAAACCAAAAAATTGGTTAATCGATGAATTGAAATAGCCCAAAATCGAAAAATTAATAACAAAAATAATGAAAAATTTCAATGAAATCGATAAATCGGAAAATTGAAAATCGGGAAACTGAACAACAGAAAAATGAAACATTGCAATCTCGATAAATCCAAAAAAGGAAAAGTTGAAAAATCGACAAACTGAGGATTTAAAAAATAAGAAAATTCAAAAATATCGGACATTGAAGAGTCCAAAAAAAATCGGAAAATCTAAAATTAAAAATATTGAAATACAGAAAAATCCTAAAATTGAAATAACGAAAAATTGAGAATTCGATTAAACGAAAAATTGAATCAAAATAAAAATTGGATAAATCTAAAAAAAATTTAAACAACCGAAAAATTGAAAAATTTCCAAAATTAAAATGTTGAAAAATTGAGAAATCGAAAATTTGAAAAAACGAAAATAAGAAAATTTAAAAAATTAAAAAATATAAAAATTTGGAAATCGGAACATCAAAAAATCGTAAAATCAAAAAATGTAAAATACATATAAAAAATCGAGAAACTGAAAAATTAATTAAAAATCCAAAAATTGAAAAATCTATAAATTCAAATAGTCCAAAATCGAAAAATTAGTTAACTGAAATATTGAAAATTTTAAATTAAAAAAAAATATATATGGATAAATGGAAAAATCGGAAAACTGAACAACAGGTAAATGAAACATTGGGATCTCAAAAAATCCAGAAATAAAAAAACTGAAAAATCGACAAAATAAAAAATTGAGAAATTAAAAAAAAAAGAAAAATCTTAAATCGGAAAGTTGAAAATCGAGAAATCGACACATCAAAAAATTTAAAAATTTAAAATTTTAAAAATAGGAAAAATTGACACAGAAAAGTTGAAGAATTGAAAAATTGAGAAATCGAAAAATCTAAAATTTAAAATATCGAAAATTGAAGAATCTAAACATCAAAAAATAGAAAAATCAAATATTTAATCCACAATTTAAAAAATTGAAATACGGAAACATCCTAAAACTGAAATATCGAAGAATTCCCAAAACTGAAATGTTGAAAAATTGAGAAATCGAAAATTTGAAAAAACGAAAATACGAAGACTTGAAAAAACGAAGATTTGAAATATTAAAAAATATAAAAATTTGGAAACTGAAATATCAAAAACTCGTAAAATTAAAAAATGTAAAAAGTAAGAAAAATTGGAAAATTGAAAAATCGAAACATAGAGAACGGAAGATCGAGAAATCGAAAAACTTGAAAATCTAGAAATTGAAATAGTCCAAAATCGAAAAATAATAACCAAAAAACTGAAAAATTCAAATTAAAAACAATCGATGAATCGAAAAATCGGAAAATTGAAAAATGGGGAAACTGAATAGAAATCACGATAAATCGAAAAATCAACAAACTGAAAAATCGATAAACTGAAAAACTGAGGATTAAAAAAAAAGGAAAAATCTAGAATTTGAACAACCAACAAATTGAAAAACCTAAAATTTTAAAAATAGGAAAAATTGACATACTGAAAAGTTGTAAAACTGAAAAATCGAGATATTGAAAAATCTAAAATTTAAAATGTCGAAAAATTGAAGAATCGAAGGATTGAAAAATCGAGAAACCAAAACATCAAAAAAATGAAAAGTTGCACGCAAATGTTTTGAGCCTATGGGCGGATCGTTTTTGCCTGCCCTCACCGAAGAAGGCGGTCCAAATCCTTCAAGGGCAGAATTTGTAGGTAGGCTCAAACTACAACGAAATTCACATTTTACCCTATAAAATTTTATTGACAATAACGGGACGGACAGTAGTTATATATACATTTGGTAAGAAATATTTATGGCTCGTACCAGTTCTCTCGAATTTGTCGGAGAAGATTTAGCAGGTAGTTGTTCCCATTAAATAATGGTCACTTTCGTTCGTGAGTAACGATGGTCCGGACATGAATTATTTTGCTATCTAACATCTTTCGACCAATTGTTCCGTATAAAAAATTTCATCACTTTTTCAAATAAAATACTCTTTAAAAAAACGATATTGTCGTTGAGTGACATGTAACTGGCATAATCATAAAAACGTGCCATTTTTGTTAACTGATATTTTTTTCATAAATGTCGCAAAATTATTAAATTTGTCTAATCATCCCCACCAATAATGTGATGACGTCACTTCAAATTTATGCATAGTAAATGGGTTTTAAATTGTATACAGTAACACATGTAGTTTATGACTCCGTGTTGAGTTTTTGTCCAAAACGTCCAGAGTTTTGGAAAAAAAATCAAAATTATAAAACAATATTTTGCAATTTAATTTTGAATTTGCAAAATCGAATACTTTGAAATCTTGCAGATGTTTTAAAATCATGATAAACACGATACATTTTTAATTAAAATACATTTGCGTATCCCCTCTAAAAAATGTATGACGTCACCTCAAAATTTTGCAGAATAAATCCTGTCTTAAATGTATAAAGTATGATGAGTTTTATACTTGTGATTTATCACTGCATTAATATTTTTTAGATTTGGTTATACAGGTGTCTCAAAAAAGTTAATGACTGAGTCAATTTATTTTATTGAAGAAACCAAGAATAGCAAAACTGAATACTTTGAAATATTGTAGATGTTTTGAAGTTTTTGTAAGCATGGTAACTTTTTCGAAAATTTGATTAATCAAATATGCGCAAAATCAAAAATCGGAAAAACTGAAACTCACTAATGCAAAAAACAGAAAATCGAAAAATACAAATCGTAAAAATCGAAAATCTAAAAATGGCTAATCAAAAAATCGAAAATTCAATGAATCAAATACCTAGGTCGATGGAAAAGTGGAAATTCACAAACCTTTAAAATCGAAAAATCGAAAATTGAAAAACGGGAAAACCAAAAAATCGAAAAGTCAAAAATTTGTAATATTGAAAATTAAAAAAATCAAAAACAAAAATAAAAAAATCGGAAATTAAAATAATCAAAATATATAAATAAAGTAAAAAAAAATTGTAAAGCCTAAAAACTGAAAAAAATTGGAAAAACAAAAATTCGAAAAATCTAAAATCGAAAAAGTGGAAAATGGAAAATCCGAATAAAGAAATTTGAAAATTCTGAAAATTGGAAAATCGAAAACCAAAAAATCGGAAAGTAACAAAATTGATGTCTAAGAGTTGAGAATGGAAAAATTGAAAAACCGAAAATTCTAAAAATCGACAATGGACAAACTGAAAATCGCAAAATTTAAATTGAAAAATAGAACATAGAAAAATCGATGAATTGAAAAAACGAAAATTCGACTACTCAAATTTTCTAAAAATCGAAAAATCATAAAACTGAAAAATCCAAAATTCTAATCATCGAAAGTCTGAAAACTGAAAAACGAAAATTCTGAAAAGCGGAAAATAGAATATCGAAATATTTAAAAGAAAGAAAATTGAAGTCTAAAAAACGAAGAATGGAAAAATTAAAAATCAAAAATTTGAAAAATCAAAACCGAAAAATTCAAAAATTTAAAAAGAAAATCGAAAAATCAAAAATCTGAAAATTAAAAAAATTGAAGTCTAAAAGCTGAAAAATGGAAAACTGAACAATCGAAAATTCGAAAATCAAATATCGAAAAACCGAAAAGCCGAAAAATCGAAAATTTAATAAATCAGATATGCGAAAAACAGAAAATCTGAAAATGCAAAACCGGAAAATCAAAAATCTAAAAATGGAAAAACCGAAAATCGAAAATTCAATGAATCTAATACGTAGGTCGATCGAAAAACTGGAAATTCACAAATCTGAAAAATCGAAAATTTGCAAGATTGAAAAACCGAGAATTGAAAAATCAAAATACCGAAAAATGGAAACATCAAAAATCGAAAAATAGGAAAACCGAAAATTCGAAAATTCATAATATTGAAAACTCTAAAAGTCGACAATTCAAAAATCAAAAAACTGGAAAGTAAAATTATCGAAAAATCGAAAAGTAAACAAATTGCAAAGCCTAAAAACTGACGAACAGAAAGATCGAAAAATCGTAAAATCAAAAAGTGGAAAATCGAAAACTGGAAATTGAAAAATCGAAAAATGTAAAAAAAACGAAAATTCAAAAATCGAATAATCCGAAACTAAAATAATAGAAAAGTGGAAAAGTAAAAATTGCAAAGTCTCATAACTGACGAACAGAACAATCGAAAAATAAAAAAAAATCGAAAAATATCTAAACATGGAAAATCGAAAAACCGAAAAATCGAAAATCGAAAACTCGAAAAATCGAAAATTCGACGAAACAAATACTCGAAAAAGCGAAAAGTAAAAAAATTGCAAGGCCTAAAAATTGAAAAATCAAAAAATCGAAAAAATGAAAATCGAAAAAACGACGATCGAAAAAAAATCAAAAAATCGAAAAGTGGAAAATCGGAAAGTAACAAAATTGAAATCTAAAAGCTGCAAATTGCAGAACCATAAAAACTGAAACAAACAGAAAAATCGAAAAACCACAAAAGCAGAAAAACGAAAATCGAAAAATCGTAAAATCAGAAAATGGAAAATCGAATAATCGAAAGTTGAAAAATCGAAGGTCCAAAAATAAAACAACCGAAAAATCGAAAAATTTTATGATTAATGGAAAATCGAAAAATCGAGAATAGGAGAATTAAAAAACCGGAAAATTGAAAAATCGGAAATCGAAGAATTAAAAAAGTAAAATCGAGAATTCAAAAATCAAAAAAATCGGAAAGTAAAATGTAATCGAAGAATGTAAAAAAATTGCAAAGTCTAAAAACTGAAAAATGGAAAAATCAAAAATCGAAAAATAGGAAAACCGAAAATTCGAAAATTCAATGAATCTAATACGTAGGTCGATCGAAAAACTGGAAATTCACAAATCTGAAAAATCGAAAATTTGCAAGATTGAAAAACCGAGAATTGAAAAATCAAAAAACCGAAAAATGGAAAAATCAAAAATCGAAAAACAGGAAAACCGAAAATTCATAATATTGAAAACTCTAAAAGTCGACAATTCAAAAATCAAAAAACTGGAAAGTAAAATAATCGAAAATCGAAAAGTAAACAAATTGCAAAGCCTAAAAACTGACGAACAGAAAAATCTAAAAATCGTAAAATCAAAAAGTGGAAAATCGAAAACTGGAAATTGAAAAATCGAAGATTGGAAAATCGAAAAATGAAAAAAAAACGAAAATTCAAAAATCGAATAATCCGAAACTAAAATAATAGAAAAGTGGAAAAGTAAAAATTGCAAAGTCTCAAAACTGACGAACGGAACAATCGAAAAATAAAAAAAATCGAAAAATATCTAAACATGGAATATCGAAAAATCGAAAATCGGAAAATGGAAAAACCGAAAAATCGAAAATTCGATGAAACAAATACTCGAAAAAGCGAAAAGTAAAAAAATTGCAAGGCCTAAAAATTGAAAAATCAAAAAATCGAAAAGTGGAAAATCGGAAATCGAAAAGTGGAAAATCGGAAATCGAAGAATTAAAAAAGTAAAATCGAGAATTCAAAAATCAAAAAAATCGGAAAGTAAAATGTAATCGAAAAATGTAAAAAAATTGCAAAGTCTAAAAACTGACGAACAGAAAAATCAAAAAATCTAAAAATGGAACGACGAAAAATCGAAAATTGAAAGAATAGCAAATTAAAAAAAATTCTTCGACTTTCGTTCCATTTCAAAATTTACTCTTTGTATATTTCAGTGGTCACAACAAGTTCATTAACTACGCTGAAGCATGCAAAGATTAAATTTGTCACCGAAAAGATGTCAGATGTAATAAATTATCCTATTGGTTTAATCTGAATTTTATAACTACGCTCGGCACAATTAGACCTAATATTAGTGTGATTTTGACCATATTCTCGATGTTATTAGAGCAGGACACGTTTTTTTTTTTCTAACTAATTGACAAGATTTCAAAGTATTCAGTTTTGCAATTCTTGATTTCTTCAATAAAATAAATTGACTCAGTCATTATTTTTTTTTTTGAGTCACCTGTATGTATAAACAAATCCAAAAAATATTAATGGAATGGTAAATCACAAGTATAGACTCATCATATTCTGAACATTTTAGATAAGGTATTTATAAAATTAAAACTAATTCAGGGTAAGAATTTGGTCAACACGTAAATTTCGTTGTAGTTTGAGCCTACCTACAAATTCTGCCCTTGGACGATTTGGACCGCCTCCTTCGGTGACGATTGTACAAATGGCATTTGTGTGGGTTAGACAAAGACACAATGATAGTGTTCGACACCACTCGGGTCTCGTCGACAACACGCAATTTACCCAGTGGCGTACAAAAATTTCGCTTCAAGGGTCCAAATCAACACAAAACAGCAGCATAAAGCTTTATTCAAAATCATAAGCAATAAAAAATCAAAATTAAAGCATCAATTTCTACAAGAGACTACATCAGTTCGTGTCAGGTCAATACTTGTGCAAAAAACCACCCGTCGGTAAAAGGTTTTTGGCAGAAGAGAGAGATCCTTTAAGGTCCGTGGAAGTCTTTTCCACGGACTGTTTTGGCCCAGCGTCCCTACAAATCAACTTAAGTCACTACTTAGTCGCATCGACAGACTTACTGCTGATGGGCCGTAAACGCGAACGCTTGTTCGTCCATATTTTTTTTGAAGTTGTGGACTGAATACCGGTTGTACATTCCCCAGACGCTGTTCATATACTTGCTGCTGTACTTCGGAGGGGTTAAGTCGCAAGCGTCGCGCTGGTTTTTCAGTTTTTCTTCGTTCTGACGGACTTTATGGCTTGCGAAGGCTCCGTGTGGTACGACGGACATTTCAACGTCATAAACAACTAAAGTAAAATCAACTTAAGTACAAGACGCTAATTGATACTTACAAGAGCAGCTGAAAATCACGTTGAAGATCTTTATTTTGTCAAAGATTAGACTTCTCGAGGTTCTTTCGGTAAACGTCATGCAGATTTGGCTCCGAATTTGCAAAATTTGAATCAAATCGGAATACTTGAGGCGCAAGAGTACAGGATCGGGCAGTGTTCGAAACGAACTGTTTTAAATATTGGGAGCAAGGATACCGCGTATCAACATCGAGTGTTTATCGTATTATTAAAATAATTGAAGACGCGATAACTGGTCGGAGGTTATCGTTCGTCTTATACAAATTGTGTTGCTACATGTTGATTAACTCAAATCAAATAAGAGCCAGGATTTTTTGTTTTACAGGACGCTGGTTTGGTTGCCCTTACGACAGTGGCGTACCTGGAGTGGGGGCAATCAACAACTCGTTTCCTTTATTATGTATTAAGATGTTACATAGTTCATGCTTTTAAAAATTTTCGTTGACTTACAATAATACTTAAAAGGAACCAATCACTGAAATAAAAAATTACATTAGCGCTTAAAAACCAATATATATATTACTCAGTCTTGTTAATAACCTTGAAACAACTGGAATGGTAATAAAGCACGTTAACCAAACTTAACAGACCACATAACCACAAATTACTAATTACAATTACAAAAAAATCCTACACAACTACAGTTAAATTGCACGCGTGTTTAAAAATCTTACTTTGGTATTATTAAAAATATTGCAGTTAGCTTAAAACAATAAGTACAATTGGCATTCGGTCAATCCATTTAGCAAAAATTTAATTAAGACTTCCAATCTATACAATATATCACAATAACAGCCTTTTCACTCCACATTCTGGGCAAAACTTCGCTGTCGTCACAGGATACTTGTTCCCACACTCGTGACAAAATTTCGACATTCTGTGGTTATTCTGAACCGGGGGGACGAAATTTTCGGAACCGCTGGAACTGGCACTGTCGATGCGTTGTCGCTGCAGGGGCGACAATTTCGTCGTTTTTGCCTTAGGACTGCTCCTATTAAGACTGTGGAAGGAGATTAATTACAAATAAAACACAAAAAGTACTTACCTTCCATACGCAGAATCACCCGAGACTTTGTTACTGTTTTGGTTAGTGTAATCTTCGTTTACTATTTCGATACCGTACGACTTGATTGAGTTTTTGCTTCTTTGTTTTCTGGTGTTAGACATTTGTTCCTTTTCTTTTAAGTACATTTCTTCGAAGATTTTATATTCGGCGTACATTTTGTCGTCGACGGCGAAGAGGTCTTCGGGTTTGATGGTCTGATCTGGCTCGTGAGGCTCTATAACTTGGGTTTTGGGTTTTAACTGGGGCTGCAAGAATTAGTTGAGACACGTTATATAGTATTTTAGTAATTCTACCTTGTTCACTTTACTCTTCAACTCTTTTCCTCTCTTGTCGTACCCGACTGTTGTTTTCACCACCTTCTTCTGCGCCGCATCCCCACTACCAAAACTAGAATTCAACTTACTTTTAGTCTTAGAAACTTTCGTCGCGTTGCCCTTATTCGCCGGCGGCTCGATCTTTAAATCGTACTGCAAACTATACACGTCGACGTCGTTCTGCAGCGTCGTGTCCGTGTCCTCGCTCGACTCGGTCGAATAATTCCCGAACTTAAAATGCTCAGGGATCGACAGATTATCATTTTCGTTGATCAAGTTCGAGTCGACCGAAGACATGTCGTCGCTGTACTTCCTCTGATTCAAAATCACGTTAAACTCGTCCTTGTTGTGCTTATTTAGAGTCAGGAAAAACTCGTCGTTGTTGAACTGGTCGTTGATGAGATTCTCGAGGATTTCGAAATCGTCGTCGGCGGCGTCCGGGTCTTGGAAGCACGCTGGAGGATCGATGACCGACGCGCGCTTGGGGGCCGGAGCCCCCGCCGACTTGACGAACTTTTTGGCGGGAAGCTTGACCGAGTTGTTGGCGGCGGTGTGGGGGCGGAGGTGCGGTTTTGTGGGGGAGGTGAGCGGTTTGAACGCGTCGCATTCGAGGAGCTCCATGAACTGGCGCTCGGCCGACACGAACGGGTCGTAGGGGGCGGTGGTACTGCAAAAAATGTATGCATGTGGAAATGGCTTAGTTTGAGGGTGACGGGGGCGCTGAGATAGAGAGTAACAAGTTAGTGCCGTAATGGATAGGGAGATGGCGCTGGGTGCAGCTGTCAATTAAAATCACTAAATTATGGGAATCTAGGGACTTTATTGTCGAATTTGGTGGAATAAGACGGTCCGCGGCTACTAGATGGTGGTTTTTAAAATTGTTAAGCTAAATTCTAGTGGTATTTTGTTCTAGATCAACAAGTTTCACCTTTGGTAGGTCAGGAAAACATCATTTAAGTCTTTCTTGACAGGTGTAAATCTGTTTCCTCTCCACTTGGATTGGAAAACACTGCTGTTAATTTTCTTATTTTGTTTTATTCCTAATACAGGTAGTTTATACGTGCACGCTTTTTGTTTTCTATTATTTTAGCATTCTTATTTTAGCAAAATATTCTATGACGTCGTCAAAATTAATACTTTCCTCTCTTTTTCAGTTGATAAAATGGAAATATTGTTTAGTCGCGCTTAGCTCATTGTGGACCTTAAGCACGATTTTATCACTTTTAATTATAAAAAGCTTCTCTCACATGAAGCCACCGAAACAAATGGTTAAAAAAAGAGCTAGACTCGGAACACACTCAGAATAGCTCCATTTTATGATGAATCTGAAAAGCTCTTTTACCATTTTAAACATGTTTTAAGTTTCTAAGAACAAAAAAATCATCACAATTGAGATGGGGTGGGTGGGCGGGGTCTATATTTTCTCATTTTCTTATTAACATACATTGTAATCTTTGAACAACACGAGATTCAAAAACATGTTTTTCATTTTCTGTAAAGAAATAATTATTGTGCAGCTTCGTCTCCTTGTTCATGACGAATAAAAAAAAATCATTACAATTGAGATGGAGCGGGTGGGCGTGCTTATATTTTATCTTTTTGTTTTAATATGTGTACATTTCTTTTCACAAGATAAAACTTAAAACATGTTAAAAATGGTAAATTTGTATACGATTTTGCAATTAGGCTCCTTGCAATTTTTTTTTGGCAGCAATTAAATTTTTTTTTCAACAAAATATAAGCCCCGCCCACCCACCCTGTCTCAATTGTGATGATTTTTTTATAATCGTGAAGCCAAAAGAGCGGATTTTAAATTCAAAATTTTTATTATTTCTCTCTCTATAAAAAATTACCATGTAAGATATTTTTTTAATATCGTGTCATTCAAAGGATACTATGTATATTAAGGAAAAATTAAAGCCAAAGATTAAGCCCCACCCATAACTGCCCTGATCCAAATAGCAATGAAGTTTTCATTCGTTGGCAGACCTAGGGGCGGAGCCTAATTGCAAAATCCATATTTTCTTAACAAAAATTTACCATTTTGAACGTGTTTTACGTTTCTAAGAATAAACAAAAATCATTACAATTGAGATGGGGTGGGTGGGCGGGGTTAATATTTTGTCTTTTTTTTCTTAATATAGGTACATGGTATTTTTTGAAAAACACGAAACTCAAAAACAGTTTTTAGTTTCTTGTAAAGAAATAAGTATTTTGCAGTTAAGCTGAGTCCTCTTGGTTCACCCGAATGAAAAAAATCATCACAATTGAGATAGGGTGGGTGGGTGGGCTTATATTTTGCCTTTTGGTTTGAATATGTCTAGACTTCTTTTCACAACATGAAACTTAAAACATGTTTAAAATGGAAAATTACTTTTTGTCGACCTTTCATGGCCCTTAGAGTACAAAGAAATGGGTTTCCCGTTTCTGTCTGTCTGGTGGTGGTACTGCAAAAAATGTATGTATGTGGGAATGGTTTAGTTTGAGGGTGACGATGAGGGCGCTGAGATAGAGGTTAACAAGTTAGTGCGGTAATGGGTGGGGAGATGGCGCTCGGTGCAGCTGGCAATTAAAATCGCTAGATTATGGGAATCTAGGGACTTTATTGTCGAATTTGGTGGAATAAGACAGTCCGCGGCTACTAGATGGCGGTTTTTAAAATTGTCAAGATAAATTTCAGTGATATTTTGTTCTAGACCAACAAGTTTTACCTTTGGTAGGTCAGGAAAACATCGCTTAAGTCTTTCTTTATAGGTGTAAATCTGTCCTTCTTTTCTCTCTACTTGGATTGGAAAACACTGCTGTTAATTTTCTTATTTTGTTTTATTTCTAACACAGGTAGTTTATACGTGCACGCTTTTTTGTTTTCTATTATTTTAGCATTTTTATTTTGGCAAAATATTCTATGACGTCGTCAAAATTAATACTTTCCTCTCTTTTTCAATTGATAAAATGGAAATATTGTTTAGTCGCACTTAGCTCATTGTGAACCTTAAGCACGATTTTATCACTTTTAATTATAAAAAGCTTCTCTCACATGAAGCCACCGAAACAAATGGTTAAAAAAAGCGCTAGACTCGGAACACACTCAGAATAGCCCCATTTTATGATGAATCTGAAAAGCTCTTTTATCATTTTAAGCATGTTTAAAGTTTCTAAGAATAAAAAAAATCATCACAATCGAGATGGGGTGGGTGGGCGGGGTTATATTTTCCCATTTTCTTATTAATATACATTGTAATCTTTGAACAACACAATATTCAAAAACATGTTTTTAATTTCCTGTAAAGAAATAATTATTGTGCAGCTTCGTCTCCTTGGTTCATGACGAATAAAAAAAAAAAATCATTACAATTGAGACAGGGCGGGTGGGCGGGCTTATATTTTATCTTTTTGTTTTAATATGTGTACATTTCTTTTCACAATATAAAACTTAAAACATGTTAAAAATGGTAAATTTGTATACGATTTTTCAATTAGGCTTCTTGCAATTTTTTTGGCAGCAATTAAATCTTTTTTTTCAATAAAATATAAGCCCCGCCCACCCACCCTGTCTCAATTGTGATGATTTTTTGATAATCGTGAAGCCAAAACAACGGATTTTAAATTCAAAATTTTTATTATTTCTCTCTCTATAAAAAATTACCATGTAAGACATTTTTTTAGTATAGTGTCATTCAAAGGACGCTATGTGTATTAAGGAAAAATTAAAGCCACAGATTAAGCCCCACCCATAACTGCCCTGATTCAAATAGTAATGAAGTTTTCATTCGTTGGCAGACCTAGGGGCGGAGCCTAATTGGAAAATCTATATTTTCTTAACAAAAATTTACCATTTTGGACGTGTTTTACGTTTCTAAGAATAAACATAAATCATTACAATTGAGATGGGGCGGGTGGGCGGGGTTTATATTTTGTCTTTTTTTCTTAACATACATGGTATTCTTTGAACACGATGCTCAATTTTTTTTTTTTTTAATTTTTTGTAAAGAAATGCGTATTTTGCAGTTAAGCTGCGCTCTCTTGGTGCACGGCGAATAAAAAAATCATCACAATTGAGATAGGGTGGGTGGGTGGGCTTATATTTTGCCTTTTGCTTTGAATATGTGTAGATTTCTTTTCACAACATGAAACTTAAAACATGTTTAAAATGGAAAATTACATTTTCTCGACCTTTCATGACCCTTAGAGTACAAAGAAATGGGTTTCCCGTTTCCGTCTGTCTGGTGGTGGTACTGCAAAAAGTGTATGTATGTGGGAATGGTTTAGTTTGAGGGTAACGGGGGGCGCTGAGATAGAGATTAACAAGTTGGTGCGGTAATGGATGGGGAGATGTCGCTCGGTGCAACTGTCAGTTAAAGTCACTAGATTCTGGTAATCTAGGGACTTTATTGTCAAATTTGGTGGAATAAGACTGTCCGCGGCTACTAGATGGCGGTTTTTTTAAATCGTCAAACTAAATTTTAGCGATATTTTGTTCTACGACCAACAAGTTTCACCTTTGGTAGGTCAGGAAAACATCACTTAAATCTTTCTTCACAGGTATAAATCTGTCCTCCTTTCCTCTCCACTTGGATTGGAAAACACCACTGTTAATCTTCTTATTTTGTTTTATTTCCAATGCAGGTAGTTTACACGTGGATGGTTTTTTGTTTTCTCTTACTTTAACATTCTTATTGCTTTCTTGCAAAATCCGGGGTAAAAAATTCGTCCTTGACTTATCTACGTCATCACGTTTACCTACGTCACCACACTCCATCGCAGCTTTTTCGTTCTTACTTCTACCTATACTTTTACGTAAAGCCAAACTTGGTCTATCTATTATAAAAGTCGAGTTTAGTTTCCTTCGTTTCTTGGGCACTTCGTACTCTTCGATGGTTGGAAAATATTTGCCGTTTTCAACCGAGCGATTCGCAGAAAAAGGGTTACCAAAAATTTTCTTTCGGAAGGTAAATTCTCCGCCAAAGTCGCTCAGACTTTGTGGGGGTATTCTGGCGGATTCTTTTGGGGACTGCGGGTATTGTGTATCGTCGGCGTTAACTAAAGACTTAGAAGACGAAAAGGATTGATCACTCGTGGATTTTAAAGATGGTGCTCCACTGCTTTCGACGTATTTTTCAACTGTGTGATTAGAACTGTCATCGGCTTCTTTGACAACGCTATCAACAGACGTTTTGTCATTTAAATTGTCTTCGTCAAGGCTGCTGTTGCCTGCTTCCATAGCGGCGAGTTCTGTCTCTATTAAATCGTCTGATTGTTTTAATTTGTTTAAACTACTTGAAAAATTTGAGAGAATTTCATCAACAGAAGAGACATGGTTTGGGGCACGTTTGACAAAATCTGTGAAGGATCATTATTTAATTAGTTTCTCAATTTGTATACACTTGCAAATATACTGGGTGTTTAGAAATGTCTTACGGGTAATAGCCCGTTCTGGCTTCAACAAGTCAACACTGTAACGAAATTTTGCAAAAACGCTGAATTTTTATTACGTTCTGTGTCCATCAGCGTCTTTACAAAACCTTATCATTTTATTTGTGCTTTCTCTCTTCTTTAACATTCAGATCTACCATATGACAAAAAGTGATACAGTAGGTCATGAAATTTATTTTTAAAATAATGATGTTGGCCATTTGACACCTGATTTGACAGTTAATTGATCATGAACGCGTTAGTGCTACCAACATGATTTTTTTAACGTTAAATTTCAAACCTTGCCAGCCACTTTTTTCCTCAATCATATGATACCTTTAGCATACGACTCCTCCACCTCGTCATTTCCATCAAAGTCACTGTCACTGGAGGACAACGTATCAATGTCGCTTTTTTTGGGAAACTTCAAAACGTGACACGATTCCAGCGACGGCAAAGGCGCCTTTCCACCCCCATGTGGCCTGTGTTTCAGTTCCCCCCCACTCCCACTCGCCGAAACCTCGCTCGACCCCCATTCAAACGAAACTTCGCTCTCCGACTCCTTCACGTCATCCGCCCCAATCGGCTGACTTTTAGCCACCGGGAGCAACTCCAGAGGCGACTTTTCCCTCTCGAACTCGGGCGAGCTCTTCGACTTCGGCGAAATCCGGAGCTTTGACTCCTCCGAAAGGAGGGAGTCGCGCGAGGAGCACTGGGTCTTCGTCGCCTCGTCGTCGGAATTCGAGAGGAGGTCTTTGATCTCTTCGATAAAACTCTGCTTTTTGGCGGCACCCTTCTTCCCGAAAACGCTCGAGTTCTCGTAGACGACGATCACCGAATCGTCGTCGGCCTTTTCCGGACTCCTCTGACTCACCTCCTTCCACGTGACCAGTTTTTTGGCGGGAGGTTCGAGAAACTTCACCGGGGAAACCGTTATGCTTTCGAGATTTTCGTTGTGAATCAAATTTACTTTCTCACGAGGGGGACAAAATCGCTTTGTGCGCAAACTGTAGAAGGAAAGAGGGTTAGGAGGGGTGGGGACGGGGAGAAACGGTGCAAGGAGATTGGACAATGGACAGTGTGGTAAGCCTCTTTCCTCCTTTCTCCCTACAGGTTTCTAGAGCAATGGCTGGTGTATGACATGTTACGCGGGACCAGAGGCACTGAGTACAAAAAGTAGTTTGGATTTTTAAGCGCCAAGTACCCAATTTCCTTAACCCAAACGTAACATTTCACACACTATTGAACAAGAACACCGTTTTACCGCTTACCTCTTACTCTGCTCTGTGTTCTTCTTCATCTCGTTCAGCGTCACCACGGAGTTGGCCTTCTCGTCCGCTTTGTTCAGAGCGTTGTTCTTTTTCCCCAGATCCAGAACAGATTTCGGTTTTCGAACGCTGGCGTTTCGACGAAAGGCGTTGGTGGGGGTACTTTTGACACTGCATACCGATTCGGTCCTACTAACAGTAGGGTTGGAGTACTTTTCTTTGATTGTGGTCCTTTTCGGTTTGGTTAGCGGCGGCACTTTGTACTTCGTCCTAGCTTCTAAACGTTCTTTAGCTAGAAGAATGTTCGCTGGAGACTTCTGGATGCGCGTTTGGTGCTCTTTGCACCACTCCACGTGTCTGTCGAAGGCTTTGGGGCCGAATTGTCTGTCGCAATGGGGGCAACGTTCGTTCAGTTGAGTGGAAGAGGCCGCTTGAACTTTGGGTTTGGCGGGGGACATGTCTCTAGGTACACCTACACATAATTTGTCATTATTATTACTTAATGAAATTTGGTACTTCAAATACCTTTGGCGCATCTGATGGCATCGACGAGTTTCCGGTGGTTCTCCTCCCAGTGGCTGGCTCTTTTCGGCTTTTCTGCTGTTTTGGGCGTCGAGTCCTGTCTTTTGAGGTACGACTTTTGGTGGAATTGCGCGAGATCCGTTCCTTCGACTCGCTGTTTCAGCGAATCGAATACTTTGCGTTTTTTCGAGGCGTTCTTTTCGCAGACGGGGGCATGTTTTTTGAGGGGTTGGGAGAGAAACGTGCGTCCGCAGGTGCTGCACGGGATGAGCTTTGGTTCTTCCAGGATCTGTTCTATAGTTAAAATGTCTTTGTAAGACTGCGATCGATTTCAAACTTATACTTTACGTAACGACTGCGAAAACATTTTTTCGAGATCAAAGATGCGCGGAAAACTATTTTTGCGATGATAAGTGTAAGACAGAAACGTGATGAGATCCCATTATGTTGGAGAAGTACTTAATTAGTACCATTTGAAAAAATCATCCGTAGTGACATTGCAGTTTATGATAGAGATGACGAGATGAGGTTCAGTGGTGGCCACAAAAAGAGCAAAATCATTATCAAGTGTTGATTTCCTGGAGTTTTGGAAAAAACGACACCAAGTTTTTTTAAATTAAGGTTACAAAATATCTCAATGTAGCAAACAGGAGGCTGATAACTTTGCTGATAAAATTCCGCTCGATCAATTAATTCAGTCCACTTTAGATAACATCTTGTCTGAATTATTGACGTACTTACAATTAGCTATGATGATACTAAAACTCGAGTTTTATTAAATCGGATAAGAATCTGAAAAAAAAATGGTCGAAAGTTGTTTCGACAGCACCTGAAGTCCAATGAAACATCCGGTATTTTCGAAAAATTATAAAATTTGATTTTGCGGATTTTATGAGATATGTTTTATAAAAACCGGTATCAGTTGAAATAAACATGTCATCCATGCGCCGTTCTTAATTTAATCAATAAAATTAATTCATCTATTCATGCAAATGTACATCATATTTTGTACAATTTAGATAGAATTTTTTCGGTAAAATTATGACATGACGTCATCAATGTTTTGTGGGGGGGGGGGGGGGAGATATATTTTAATTAAAAATTTACCATGCCAGTAATAACTTCAAAATGTCTGCAAGATTTCAAGGTAGTTGGTTTTGCAGTTCTTGATTTAATCAATAAAATAAATTGAGTCATTAATTTTTTTTTGCATCACCCTGTATAAGCAAATCGAAAAAATAAGAATGCAAATGCAATAATTTCCAAAGTGTGCGGTATACTTTATTGAGCAATAAAAAACCAAATAAAAATGAGAAATGATGAAACAAAACTCGGCGGCAGCTCTTTGTGCAGGTGGCTGCCTGGCTGCAAGTCATAAATTGGTGGAACGACCGGAAGTGGCCAATTTTGCATTTTGCACAATCTCGAGATCATATGTGTCAACAAATAGTCAGTCGAAGCCGAAATCGGATTTTTGTAATAACCAAATCAAAAACAAATACATTTTATTTTCCGTTACATTTAGGCCAAAAGGGGCCCCTTAAATTCAGGGGCCTGATGGTTCAACAACACAAGCATATCCGTAGTGTTTAAAATATCGATGTTTATACATCGGAAGAATGTCACGTAAACATTTCTTTGATTTCAATGAGTTTATCGCCTTAAAACAAATGAGTAAAATTTAAATAAAAATTAATTTATTGTTATTGAGACGAGCGGCTCGTTCTTAATTAGATCAATAATAAATTAACTGATTCATTAATTTTTTGAGTCACCCTGTATAAGCAAAGTATGCAATGATAAGTTACAGGTATAGACTGATCGTATTTTGTAGTCCTTGCTAAGATAAGACTGCTTGTGGCAAATTACATGCCCCTTAAGAATATAGAGGGCGGGTGGGCGTAGGTAGTATTTGTTAAAATAAGATTGATTTTGGTAAATGACTGAACAATATTAAGAGTAATCACTGGAATAAAGAGGGGGTGGGTGGGTGGGGCAATTGCTTGCTTATAAAAAATTGTATTGGAAAAGTTAAATTTAGCCCCGACCACTCACCCGTTCTCTAATTTTTTTCTTCAGAAATAAGAAACAAATGTTATAGTAAATACGTAGTGTAACAACAAAATTACGCTTAATCAGTTACGATTAGTATTTGTTAAAATAAGATGGATTTTGGTAAATGACTGAACAATGTTAAGAGTAATCACTGGAATAAAGAGGAGGTGGGTGGGTGGGGCTATTGTTTGCCTATAAAAGATTCTATAGGAAAAGTTAATCTTAGCCCCGCCCACCCACCCGATATCTAATTTGTTTCTTCAAAAATAAGAAATAAATGTTATAACAAATAAGTACTATAATAAAAAATTACGATTAATTAGTTACGATTAATATTTGTTAAAAAAGATTGATTTTGGAAAATGACTGAACAACATTAAGAGTAATCACTGGAATAAAGAGGGGGCGGGTGGGTGGGGCTATTGCTTGCCTATAAAAGATTCTGCAGGAAAAGTTAAACTTACCCCGCCCACCCACCCGTTCTCTAATTTGTTTCTTCAAAAATAAGAAATTAATGTTATCAAAAATAAGTAGTATAATAAAAAAATACGATTAATTAGTTACGATTAGTATTTGTTAAAATAATATTGATTTGGTAAATGACTGAACAATATTAAGAGTAATCACTGGAATAAAGAGGGGGCGGGTGGGCGGGGCCACTGCTTGCTTATAAAAGTTTCTGTAGGAAAAGTTAAACTTAGCCCCGCCCACCCACCCGTTCTCTAATTTGTTTCTTCAGAACTAAGAAATAAATGTTATAGCAAATAAGTAGTATAACAGAAAAATTACGATTAATTAGTTACAATTAATATTTATGAAACTAAGATTGATTTTTTTAAATGACTGAACAATATTAAGAGTAATCACTGGAAAAAAGAGGGGGTGGGTAGGCGGGGCTATTGCGTGCTTATAAAAGATTCTGTAGGAAAAGTTAAATTTAGCCCCGCCCACCCACCGGTTCTCTAAATTGTTTCTTCAAAAATAAGAAATAAATATTATAGCAAATAAGTACTATAACAAAAAAATTACGATTAATTAGCTACGATTAGTATTTGTTAAAATAAGATTGATTTTGATAAATGACTGAACAATATTAAGAGTAATCACTGGAAAAAAGAGGGGGTGGGTAGGCGGGGCTATTGCGTGCTTATAAAAGATTCTGTAGGAAAAGTTAAATTTAGCCCCGCCCAAATAATATTGATTTGGTAAATGACTGAACAATATTAAGAGTAATCACCGGAATGAAGAGGGGGTGGGTGGGCGGGGCTATTGCTTGCTTATAAAAGGTTCTGTAGGAAAAGTTAAACTTAGCCCCGCCCACCCACCCGTTCTCTAATTTGTTTCTTCAAAAATAAGAAATAAATGTTATAGCAAATAAATAGTATAAGAAAAAAATTACGATTAATTAGTTACGATTAGTATTTGTTAAAATAAGACTGATTTTGGTAAATGACTGAACAATATTAAGAGTAATCACTGGAAAAAAGAGGGGGTGGGTAGGCGGGGTTATTGCGTGCTTATAAAAGATTCTGTAGGAAAAGTTAAATTTAGCCCCGCCCACCCACCGGTTCTCTAAATTGTTTCTTCAAAAATAAGAAATAAATATTACAGCAAATAAGTACTATAACAAAAAAATTACGATTAATTAGCTACGATTAGTATTTGTTAAAATAAGATTGATTTTGATAAATGACTGAACAATATTAAGAGTAATCACTGGAAAAAAGAGGGGGTGGGTAGGCGGGGCTATTGCGTGCTTATAAAAGATTCTGTAGGAAAAGTTAAATTTAGCCCCGCCCACCCACCGGTTCTCTAAATTGTTTCTTCAAAAATAAGAAATAAATATTATAGCAAATAAGTACTAGAACAAAAAAATTACGATTAATTAGTTACGATTAGTATTTGTTAAAATAAGATTGATTTTGGTAAATGACTGAACAATGTTAAGTGTAATCAGTGGAATAAAGAGGGAGTGGGTGGGCGGGGCTACTGTTTGCTTATAAAAAATTCTGTAAGAAAAGTTAAACTTAGCCCCGCCCACCCACCCGTTCTCTAATTTGTTTCTTCAAAAATAAGAAATAAATATTATAGCAATTAAGTACTATATCAAAAAAATTACGATTAATTAGTTACGATTAGTATTTGTTAAAATAAGATTGATTTTGGTAAATGACTGAACAGTATTAAGAGTAATCATTGGAAAAAAGAGACAGTGGGTCGGCGGGGCTACTGTTTGCTTATAAAAGATTCTGTAGGAAAAGTTAAATTTAGCCCCGCCCACCCACCCGTTCTCTAATTTGTTTCTTCAAAAATAAGAAATAAATATTATAGCAAATAAGTACTATAACAAAAAGATTACGATTAATTAGTTACGATTAATATTTGTTAAAATAAGATTAATTTTGGCAAATGACTGAACAATGTTAAGAGCAATCAGTGGAATAAAGAGGAGGTGGGTGGGCGGGGCTACTGCTTGCTTGTAAAAGATTCTATAGGAGAAGTTAAACTTAGCCCCGCCCACCCACCCGTTGTCTAATTTTTTTCTTCAGAAATAAGAAATAAATGTTATAACAAATAAATATAAAAACAAAAAAAAATACGATTAGCGCTTTTTTTTAACAGCCAATGTTCATTTGGTCCCATTATCACTTTATAAACGAGCATATAATTCACCCCGTCCACCCACCCCGTCTCCATTTCAGTGATTCATTTTGTCTAGTCCGAATGAAAGGTGGATCTCAACTGAAGAGAGATAAAATCGTTATAATGAGAACATCGTGTGTGGGCGGGGCTAGTATCTGCTAAGATAAGATTGATTTTGGTCAATGATCTCCTCTAAAAAAAAAAGAACAGGGTGGGTGGGCGGGGCTAGTACTTGCTAGGATGACTGACAAAGGCAAACGACATACTCTCTAAGAAAATAAAGGGTGGGTGGGCGGGGATAAAACTTGCTAAGATAGGACTGAACAATATTAACAGTAGTCGCTAGATCGAAGAGGAGGTGGGTGGGTGGGGCTGCTGCTTGTTCATAAAATTAGAAAAAGCCCCGCCCACCTCTTTTTTCCATTTCACTGACTTATTTTATTTAGTGTAAAAAGGAAATAGAAAAATAACTATTGTAATACCAAAATTTTCTGGGAAAATGGAGTGAGCAGGTCCTGATTTAATCAATAAAACAAACTGACTCATCCACTAATTTTTTTGAGCCACCTGTTAATGCACTGATAAATCACAAGTAAAAACTCATCATATTTTGGGTAAAATTTATTCGGAAAAATATTGAGATGACGTCATCAATTTTTTGGGGAAAATAAACAGATACTTTAAAACGTCTGTTTGAGTCATCTGTATAAGAAAATCTAAAAAATATGAATGAATGCAGTGATAAATTACAAGTACAGATTGATTACAAGTATGATCAGTCTGTACTTGTGATTCATCATTGCATTCATATTTTTTATTGACAAATTAAGAACAAATCACCCCATTTTCCCGAAAATGGGAAAATACAAACGTCGTCGTGCAGTACAGGAGTCCGTCGAGCAATTTGGTACTTTTATATTTTCTCGATATTTCATAACCCCTAGACAAGTCCGTAGTTAGGGGGAGGTTAGGGGATGCTGAGCCTCTCCAGATCTAGGCAAGTTATAATTAATCAAATGTGAATTACAACATCGAAAATCAAAATACAATGTAGTGTTTTATTCAATAAGCGGAAGTCAGAGCCATAAAAAAGTCTGGATCGTCGGCATTGTGATCCGGTTCGTACCTCTGTTGTTACATATGGCAGACTCGATTAAATAGTTTCGTTATTTTATTGATTACATATTTTTATTTTAGCTTATAATGATTGCCATAAAAAGCAATAAAATTCGCAAAACCAAATATTTTAATTTTTCGAAAGAGCTGGATTGATGTTTATATACTATACATTATTTACTGGGCAAATATCTGTGTGATTAGATAACAGATAACACTTCATACTCAAGTTTCCATCTAGCAAATATCATCTCGTTGAATAAACACTTCGTTTCAAAACATTTTTCTACCAGAAATTTTGTTACGTAACCCACTGCAAAATCCCCATTAAAAATATTCTATTTCATTTATTCAGACAGTAAATCTTGGTTACTTTAAATTACTGACTGATCACTGTACTTAAAAATAAGCACTAATTGCGCTAATTTTTGCTGATATATTTTGCAAGGTAAAATCAGAGTAACTTCGGTTTTATTAATGTTTTCGCACTTTCAGAAAATAATAACCGTGGTTAGCATGTATGGACTGATTCTGAATGCCTTCAGTATTTAACAAAAACATAACTCGATCGTTTTAATACAGCTGATAACTGTATTTTTTGCGTCGCATGTTTCACACAAATTGTACTAACAATTAACATGTTTTGCACATACGTTGTATGTTGTATGAATTAATTAAACAATACCTACGATTTATCTCTAACTGTATTATTAAAAATTTATTTGAAAAAAACGACTAGTTTAGCCGTCTTTCCCTTTCATGGAACAATTACTCATAAATAAAAAAACCACAAGCGCAAAACAACAAAGCAAAACCCACCATTAGAGCCCATGTAGGTGGTAAAATGTATACAAGACCAAAGTTTTCATCCAATATAGCACAACTTGAGATTGTTGTTTAAACCCATGATCAAAATCTACCTAATTTTTCGATTTAAATCCAATTTCTAGGCACACACTCTCTCACCTTCAATTTCACCGACTTAAGTCACCTTACTTAATTAATATTCACAAATGCACCTCGTCGAGGTCACAGATGATTGAGCATCCAATTACATAACTCAAACACACAACAAAACAACAAAAGCTTTTCTTGCAAACATCTGAGCACATCGACGCGACATCGACAACTAATTTGCAAAAATCCAGCAAAATGTGTCAGAGTCTACAAAAGCGTGGTGAAGACCTGAAGGTGAACGAGTTTGGACTTTCTTAAAACAAACCAACAGACGTTTGTTGACAAGAAATCGTAAAACAAATTGGTGTCATTAATAGAATAAATCATATCAATTAATAATACAAATCTCGTTTTGAGTGTGTTGAATGAAAACACTTGACTCTTCTCCAGGAAGCGCGGCAGCCACTTCCAGGACAAAAAAACCATGAATCATCAGCTTAAGACCTAAGCCTCTATTATTAATAGCCGTGTCTATTTCGAGAGCAATTAAGCCGGAAAATCTGGATTTGAGGCGCAGGAAGCCCAAGAAGTGACACAGTGGGAGTGAAACACATGACGCTGTTTTTGGTTACATCGCCGAAACTACGGTGCAACGAAAGCGAAAAACTGCGAAAACACCCCCGAACGACCCCAAACCACCCACAAAATCGTTTAAATCCCGATTATTCTGACAAATATAGACAATTTTGACGTTTTCACTTACCATCTTCCATCGTTTGTTCTGGGACCATCACTTTTGTTTTTGTGTGTTTCCAAGGTAACAGCGATTTAAACATTATGCAGACCACGTGCTCTTACGTCACACTAACCTTTTTACCGACTTGGTTTACCGAAAACGAAAAATAAATCAGAAAATTGGTGTTTTCAAACGAGACGCGGCTGCTGTTCGCCCCACGACCCAGCCACGGCGCGTTTTATTTTTATTTCGGTAAATGTTAATGGTGCGCATTGACATGTCGTTACATAACCTCACAAAGCGCCGCTTCGCGATTATTATATTATTGCGACGATGATTGTGTGGAGAATCGTATCGAGGACCCGTTTGGGTGCGTATTTGTGCGTTTGGTTGCGTATTACCTGTCATTTTTGTGTTTTGTAGTTGTGGGGGCGCACCCTAACCTCACTTTATCGTGTCGCAAATGTCACTCCAAGTCGGATGGTGGAAGCGAGAAAGGCGGCAAGGAGTACCCGGAAGAGCCCACGACTTGTTGCATGTCGGGGTGTGCCAATTGCGTGTGGATCGAATACGCGCAGAAACTGAGCGAGTTTTACAAGGATGGGGGCGACGAGGCGGTGAGGCAGATTAACGAGAAAGTCACGGACCCGAATATGAAGGCGTTTCTGATGCACGAATTGCGGATGAAAAACGTCACGCGAAAGTAGGAAATTAGGTATATTTATTATTTTTTATAGAAATAGAAATTGGCTACAATTGTTTGGTTTATTTGGAGAGTACTTGGGCCCCCTCGCTCGGTTTGCTGATGTAGAATGTGGGCGTCCCCTTGTAGTGTTTCTTGACATGATCAATGACCTTATCGACGGACGCGGATTTGACCTGGAACGAGATGCTGCATTGAACATAGGTCAAGGGGGTTGGGCAAGGACGAAAGTTATGCAACTTAGATTTTTACTTTAGAAAAATTTGCGCCCTCTAGCGGCAAGTTGGCAACAACACAAAAAATCTGAGGTGGTCTACTTTCGTCCACTGAGTTTAGATGATAGGAATAGTAGGTGGAGATTATTTTTTGTCCTTTAAATTTAAATTTGCGTGAAAGTTGCACTATGTCACAACTGTATAATCAAGAACACCAAAGGCACGAAGCGGCAAATTATTTGCTTTTGTAGTAGGTGTTCAGGAAAAGCGTGCGGCACACTTATTTACCATCGTCACGGTGCAGCCACCAAATCCCCCTCCCGTCATTCTACTGCCTAGGACTCCCTCCACTTGCATGGCCAACTCCACAAGCTGGTCCAATTCGGGGCAAGACACCTCAAAGTCGTCCCTCAACGAATTGTGGCTCTCCACCATAAGCTGACCAAACTTCTTGTAATTTCCGGCTTTCAAAGCCTCGGAGGCATCAAGGGTCCGTTTTATTTCCGTGACGGCGTGGCGAGCGCGTTTCACTATATCCTCAGCCGTATTAATGGATTTTAAGTCTGCAACAGCGAATTAGACCTTTGACTGAAAAATCTACAGGGTGTACACTCAATATCTTCCAAAGTGGCGTCCCGCAGGCTCAGTTTCTTCAGTAGAAGAGCTGCCTGCTGACACTGGGTCCTTCTGGACGAGTACTCACTCCCTGTGAGTTCGTGTTTGACGTTAGAATTGGTAACGAGTATCACAATGTTGTTGTCTTTCATGGGAAGCAAAGTGGAAGTCATGTTTCGACAGTCTATCAAAAGCGCGTTGTCTTTTTTGCCCATGACTGCAATAAATTGGTCCATGATGCCGCAAGGGACGTTGGCGTAGTCGTGTTCGGCTTTCTGACAAGCGAGAGCCTTATCAGTGGGCCTACAATGATTTATTATTATTATTATAATTATTATTATTTGTAATAAAGTCGTGACAACTATGGTTTTGTATTTACTGACATAATCGGGTTTGGCCCGACCAGCGCGTCCAGGAACGTGTACGTGGCCACCTCGATGGCGGCGCTGCTCGACAAGCCGCCCCCGGTGGGGACGGTGCTGTGTATGACGGCGTTGAAAGCGGGAGGCGTGCCCCCGTGGTAATTGGATATCACTCCTACAATATTTTTTTATTAACGCCTACGAGTTTGTTTTGCATACCTTTGACGTAATTTGACCATTTCGGGGGGCCAGGTGTGATGGTTTTCACCAAGGCGTTCTGGTTGGGCATCTCGATGGTCGTTTTTCTGGGTGGGTCGGCATCCGGATTTGTTGTTAGTACTGTTGATGTTTCGCCGGGGATTTTCGTGCCTACGATTACCGTCACGAGAGGTAGAGCCTGCGGGTTTGATTTGAATCGGATTTAGAGGTGTTTTTTGTTTCAGGTGGGCGGCGGAAAGTGTGGCAGTGGGGCTGTTAGGTAAGTAGTGGTCACGGGATGGCGGGAATTTTTGAGCTATCCCCACTACTAGCCCCACCACGTGACGGGTTTAAATTTCGCGCCAAAAGAAATCGGAATTTCGCAACTAGCGGATGTGTGATAAAATTGTAATGAGCAATTATCTGTGAGAGCGATTTTTAGATAAGTGCTTGTTTCGATGACAAGTGTCTGAACATAAATATTGTTAAATAAATCGGTCTACGTGATCATAAAATAAAAATAAATAAGTACGATAAATAGAAGTGTGGTGATGTCAAACACACACATGAGGACTTATCTGGACAGAATATATTCATTAAATATAATGACATTACCTGTGGGACTTTTTCCTTTATTGTTACTGTTCAAAAAGAACTGTAAAGTCACTACTAACGATTTTTTTTACGTTTTCATTGTGTTGTTGAACTGAATTTTTGTAGACGCTATCAAGTGTACGCATACTTCAGTGTACTGATGACATTTTCACTTTTTTTTTAAATGTTTTAAATCAGTTACAATCTATTTGACGCCATATGACTTATCTGAAAACAAAATGCAAGCAAAAAAAAAACATTTTTCTCAATATATATCCACATATCCAGTGACATAATTTATACATAGATTCGCCGAAGTAGCGCTTAACGTTTTTAGATTTTTCGTTTGTGATTTATACAGTTTTATTCAAAAAATATTGGGCACTGGCATTCTATCATTTATGACAAATCATATGTGATTCAAGCTTTACTGTCATTTTGACACTTTTCAAAAATCTATTAAATTTAGGTTATCTAAATAGAGTTACAAGTTATGACATTTATAAATGACAGCGGCCCAATATTTTTTGAATAAAACTGTACGATATTCACTTTCGGTAAAAGTATTTCTTGAATTAATGATTGAATTTGAGTTCGTAAAAAATATTCATGGACACAGTAGTTGTCGTAATTGCCGAATGCAATTCGTTGATCTTCGGTGGGACGTGGTCATTGTCCACCTTGCCATATTTGGCTCTGTTTGTTTTAAGCAGTTTTGCTGTAAGTTTATTTCACTCCAAATTGAAGGAAATCTCTACGTATAATCAGGGGCAGATGGGACCCGTTGACCCAGCGCGGGAAAAATTTAGATCTGGAAGACCGAAATTTTACCTCATTTAAAAGTACATCAATTTTGGATTCGAGCACCGGCGCCTCTGGTGCCCCTCTGGAAAATTCCCCTGAATCCACCCCTGCCCGTGAGGTCTTGTCTTTGAAGTATATTTGAAAGAATCTCAGAGACCTCTTTCTTTGGTTTTGAAACAGTTTGAAAGAATCTTGGAGGCACTTTGAATATGGTTTTTGAAAAAAAATCTCAGGGACTTCTTTTGTGCTGGTTTTGAGGTAGCCTGAAAGAATTTCGGGAATCTCTTGTGTCTGGTTTTGAAGTAGTTTGAAAGAACTTCGGGGAAACTTTTTGTTTTGGTTTTGTAGTTATTTGAAAGAATCCCGGGGACTTCTTGTGTCTGGTTTTTGAAGTAGTTTGAAAGAATCTCGGGGAAACCTATTGTTTTGGTTTTGAGGCAGCCTGAAGGAATCTCGAAGACCCCTTGTGTCTGGTTTTTGAAGTAGTTTGAAAGAATCTCGGGAACATTTTGTGTCTGGTTTTTGAAGTGGTTTGAAAGAATCTCGGGGAAACCTTCTGTCTGGTTTTTGAAGTAGTTTGAAAGAATCTCAGGGATCCCTTTTGTTTTGGTTTGGAAGTAGTTTAAAAGAATCTCAGGGACCCCTTGTTTCTGGTTTTAGAAGTAGTTTGTAGGAATCTCGGGAATCCCTTGTGTCTAGTTTTTGAAGTAGTTTGAAAGAATCTAGGGACCTTTTTGTGTCTGATTTTTGAAGTAGTTTTAATAAATCTCGGGGACTACTTGTGTCTAATTTTTGAAGTAGTTTGAAAGAATCTCCGGGACTCCTTGTGTCTGATTTCTGAAGTGGTTTGAAAGAATCTCGGGGACAACTTCTATATGGTTTTAAAGGTAGTTTGTAGGAATCTCGGGGATCCCTTGTGTCTGGTTTTAGAACTACATAGTTTGAAAGAATCTCGGTAACTTTTTGTGTCTGGTTTTTGAAGTAGTTTGAAAGAATCTCGGGGACCCCAGTGTTTTGGTTTTGAAGTAGTTTTAATGAATTTAGGGGAATACTTGTGTCTAGTTTGTGAAGTAGGTTGAAAGAATCTCGGGGACTCCTAGTGTAGTGTCTGATTTCTGAAGTGGTTTGATAGATTCTCGGGGACACCTTCTGTCTGGTTTTAGAAGTAGTTTGTAGGAATCTCAGGGATTCCTTGTGTGTGGTTTTAGAAGTAGTTTGAAAGAATCTCAGGGACCTCTTGTGTTTTGATCTTTAGGTAGCCTGCAAAAATCTCGGGGATCCCTTGTCTCTGGTTTTTGAAGTAGTTTGAAAGAATCTCGGGAACTTTTTGTGTCTGGTTTTGAAGTAGTTCTAATGAATCTCGGGGATTACTTGTGGTCTAGTTTTTGAAGTAGTTTGAAAGAGTCTCAGGGACTCCTAGTGTCTGATTTTTGAAGTGGTTTGATAGATTCTCGGGGATACCTTCTGTCTGGCTTTAGAAGTAGTTTGTAGGAATCTCAGGGATTTCCTGTGTCTGGTTTTAGAAGTAGTTTGAAAGAATCTCAAGGACAACTTCTATATGGTTTTAAAGGTAGTTTGTAGGAATCTCGGGGATCCCTTGTGTCTGGTTTTAGAAGTACATAGTTTGAAAGAATCTCGGTAACTTTTTGTGTCTGGTTTTTGAAGTAGTTTGAAAGAATCTCGGGGACCCCAGTGTTTTGGTTTTGAAGTAGTTTTAATGAATTTAGGGGAATACTTTGTGTCTAGTTTATGAAGTAGGTTGAAAGAATCTCGGGGACTATTAGTGTAGTGTCTGATTTCTGAAGTGGTTTGATAGATTCTCGGGGACACCTTCTGTCTGGTTTTAGAAGTAGTTTGTAGGAATCTCAGGGATTCCTTGTGTGTGGTTTTAGAAGTAGTTTGAAAGAATCTCAGGGACCTCTTGTGTTTTGATCTTTAGGTAGCCTGAAAAAATCTCGGGGATCCCTTGTCTCTGGTTTTTGAAGTAGTTTGAAAGAATCTCGGGAACTTTTTGTGTCTGGTTTTTGAAGTAGTTCTAATGAATCTCGGGGATTACTTGTGGTCTGGTTTTTGAAGTAGTTTGAAAGAATCTCAGGGATTTCTTGTGTCTGATTTTTGAAGTAGTTTGAAAGAATCTCGGAGACCCCTATTGTTTTGCTTTTTTGAAGTAGTTTTAATGAATCTAGGCGACTACTTGTGTCTAGTTTTTGAAGTAGTTTGAAAGAATCTCGGGGACAACTTCTATCTGGTTTTAGAGGTAGTTTGTAGGAATGTGGGAGATCCCTTGTGTCTGGTTTTTGAAGTAGTTTGAACGAATCTCGAGGACAACTTCTATCTGGTTTTAGAGGTAGTTTGTAGGAATCTCGGGGATCACTTTTGTCTTGTTTTAGACATACATAGTTTGAAAGAATCTCGGTAACTTTTTGTGTCTAGTTTTTGTAGTAGTTTGAAAGAATCTCGGGGACCCCATTGTTTTGGTTTTGAAGTAGTTTTAATGAATCTAGGGGACTACTTGTGTCTAGTTTTTGAAGTAGTTTGAAAGAATCTCAGGGACTTCTTGTGTCTGGTTTTTGAAGTAGTTTGAAAGAATCTCAGGGACTGCTTGTGTCTGGTTTTTGAAGTAGTTGGAAAGAATCTCAGGGATTCCTTTTTTTTTGGATTTGAAGTAGTTTGAAAGAATCTCGGGGTCCCTTTGTTTCTGGTTTTAGAAGTGCTTTGTAGGAAACTCGGGGATCCCTTGTGTCTGTTTTTTGAAGTAGTTTGAATGAATCTCGGGGACTTTTTGTGGCTAGTTTTTGAATTATGTAGTTTGAAAGAATCTCGGGGACTCCTTGTGTCTGATTCCTGAAGTGATTTGAAAGAATCTCGGGGACCCCTTGTGTCTGGTTTTTGAAGTAGTTTGAAAGAATCTCAGGGGCCCCTTTGGTTTTGAAGTAATTTGAAAGAATCTCGGGGACCCATTTTGTTTTGGTTTTGAAGTAGCCTGAAAGAATCTCGGGGGCTCCTAGTGGTGATAGATTCTCGGGGACACCTTTTGTCTGGTTTTAGAAGTAGTTTATAGGAGTCTCGGGGATCCATAGTGTCTGGTTTTAGAAGTAGTTTGAAAGAATCTCGGGGACCCCATTGTTTTGGTTTTGAAGTAGTTTTAATGAATCTCGGGGACTACTTGTGGTCTAGTTTTTGAAGTAGTTTGAAAGAATCTCAGGGACTTCTTGTGTCTGATTTCTGAAATGGTTGAAAGAATCTCGGGGCCACCTTTTGTCGCGTTTTAGAAGTAGTTTATAGGAGTCTCGGGGATTCCTTGTGCCTGGTTTTTGAAGTAGTTTTTGGTATTTTGAAAGAATCTCAGGGACTGCCTGTTTTTGAAGTAGTTTGAAAGAATCTCGGGGAATGCTTGTGTCTGATTCCTGAAGTGATTTGAAAGAATCTCGTGGACCCCTTGTGTCTGGTTTTTGAAGTAGTTTGAAAGAATATCAGGGGCCCCTTTTGGTTTGGTTTTGAAGTAATTTGAAAGAATCTCGGAGACCCATTTTGTTGTGGTTTTGAAGTAGCTTGAAAGAATCTCGGGGTCCCCTTGTGTCCGGTTTTTGAAGTGGCCTGAAAGAATCTCGGGCACCCCTTGTGTCTGGTTTTTGAAGTAGTTTGAAAGAATTTCGGGGACTCCTTCCGTCTGGTTTTTGAAGTAGTTTGAAAGAATCTCGGGGTCCCTTTGTTTCTGGTTTTAGAAGTAGTTTGAAAGAATCTCAGGGACTGCTTGTGTTTGGTTTTTGAAGTAGTTGGAAAGAATCTCGGGGATCCCTTTTTTTGGTTTTGAAGTAGTTTGAAAGAATCTCGGGGTCCCTTTGTTTCTGGTTTTAGAAGTAGTTTGTAGGAAACTCGGGGATTCCTTGTGTCTGTTTTTTGAAGTAGTTTGAATGAATCTCGGGGACTTTTTGAGTCTAGTTTTTGAAGTAGTTTGAAAGAATCCCAGGGGCCCCTTTTCTTTTGGTTTTGAAGTAGGTTGAAAAATCTCATTTTGTGATTAATAAAAGTTACGGCAATTTTTTTTTTTTTAATAATTTTCAAAATTTTTATTTATATGTTTAATTTACGATAAAAATATTTATATTTTTAAGGCCGCAGTACTTAACGTCACCTGCAAATTGCCATTATATTAAATATAATACGTATAATTCCTGATAAAACAGATTAACGGATTAACAGATTTAGAGATATGGTAGATAAATCCGCGAATAAACTAACGATTAATACAAAACAAAATAAATAACAAAATTTGAAATTAATCAAGCGATAAGTGTTCACTCATATAAAGTACACATATTATAGCGCCAAAATTTATTTTAATAAAATACTTATAAACTAGCTTTTAGGAAAACTTGTACTTTTTTATACATATATTTGAGAAAGATAAAAATTATTGCACCTACTTAAGTTGACATAGAGTAGTTACAGAAAATAAATAAATAATATAAATGTCAACCTCGAGATAATTTAGAGGCTAGTTAAGTCCACTGTGGTTAACAAGCGGCAAAATATTTTCTTCCATAGTAAAGTAAAACCCGATATGGTATTGTGATAATTCTGGAATGTTGGGGTTAATTCAGTTTGATCTGATAACCACATTCTTGTGCAGTGCATTCATTCTATGCGTTATTTTGTGTTATTAATTGTACACAAATCTTATCCGCGAATTAAATCAGATCAGATTAAATTTGATTGAAATGTCTAACAATTTTATGAAATTTTAATTAAAGTTTGACGTTTAATTAGTTCGATTGTTATCTGATTTTTGAACAAAAGCAGGACGTTTTTATCTCATTTCGTAGAAAGAATTGTAATTAATTAAAAAAAAATCTAGATAGAGGGTTATATATTTTTTGGATAAAAAATTATAAAAATTTGTACTTTTGCCAAATTTAATCTGATTAGATTAGCAAGACGCATACTTTTCACACAAATTTTACTTAACATTGAAACTTAATTTGTATACTCGGAAGATTATGCAATGCTTTTAACAAACATTTTAACCGCTGCAATAATTATCATTAAACTCCAACACGCAAATACCCACTAATAGCCACAATAAACAACAAATAACCCGAAAAATTGCCTCCTTACGACTTTTCAAATTGCTCAACTTCAATTCGGTTTCAATTCGTCTCCAAAAAATAAAAAAAAAAATACTTGCCATCGGCATAACAAATCCGTCGTTGTAGTCGATGTGCTCCCCGATCAAATTCACCCTCCCGGGGGCGAAAACCACCACGTTCGCCTCTTGATTGAACTCTTTTTGAAACGTCGCTTTGGCATCTTTGACAACCGTCGCAACGTCGGGTATACTTTGGGCCATTTTTCGTCAAATAGTCGCCGAAACTGTGTATAACGTTTAATCAATTTGTCATTGAAAAGTTAACTGAAAATTTGTAGCGCTCGAGGCGACCGCCTGATAGCAGGCACTTGCGCTGAAGATAACACGCCGACGATTGATAAAATTATTCGAAAATAGCCGTAGTGGTTGTTAACGTAACCATATAAGTTGGAGATAAGAATGTCAGTCAGTGACCCGTTAATTAAAGATATTAAAGGTAAATATTTGTAAATTTTCCAGTAGAGATTGCGAAAGTGAGGTTATGTTTATTAAAAATTAAAATCGTGTTGTTATCGGGCGAAGCCTGCTAGAGTTCGATTTTTGCTAAATGGGACGCAACACGTAACGCAGATGTATTGTGTGTTGCCTATGTGTGTTCGCAGGGCATCTCCTGGCGCTCTTCAACGAGTCCATGGGGACGAAAATCACGGATTCGAGTACGAATTTGCACGGGTTTTGTCAGGATTTGGAGAAGATTTTCCATTGTGGGTTGGTACAGAGTCAGGGGGCGTTTTATGGGAGCAGGAAGAGTGACGCGTTCACTTGGATGGGGACAATACCTGGAGATGGTACAACTTTGCTGGAGTTTAAGTATAAGAGTAGCGTGGAGGAGGTGCAAGGTTGTAAGTGCGTAAGCACATCCTTGGGGAAATTTAGGTTGTTAGTAAGGCTCTGTTTGGTGAAAAATTGTATACATTTCCCACTACAGTTTCTAGTAAGTGGTTTTATTGGATAGTAAGTTGTTGGTATTGACGTTTTAGATCAACTCCAACAGAGCGCACTCAATTTATGATAAAAACTCAATCATAGGGGACGAAATTCTTGCCGCTATATTGTTATCTGTGTTACTACAGTGTAGCAAAATTACCTTCCAGCTGCAGATTTTTAATTCGTATTTTCTGGACTCGACGTGGCAGATACCGGATCTTTTGAAACTAGAAGTCGTTCCTTGTAGTAGTTTGGGTATTAGTATTAGGTACATTTGAGAAAAATTTTGTTAATAAAGTTGTAATTCGCTTCAGTTTTTCAGAGAATAAGGCTGTCATCGTCCACATTGCTGGCAACAGCGTGGCTTCAGAAACTGTAAGATGTGTAAACGTCTCTTAGTCAAGTGGTACTAATCGAGTTTTTGCCCAAATTCGTCGTTTTTAAGGCCGAAATCTCCACCGGCGACGTCCTGGCCAATTTAAACGGCGTCGACATCAATTCCTCCTGCAAGGGGCGTCTGAACGCCATCCTGCGCCTCAATAAAGGGCGGCCCGTCACCTTGGCCATAATTAAAGCGTTTCATAAGGATTCTAATGATGTTTTTCTGCCGATGAAGAGCATTCTGCGACACTTACAAATCGATTTAATGAAAATCACGAGTGGTCAGACTAGCGCGACTACGGCGGAAACGAGGTATTGAGGCTCGGTTTTTGATTAGGGGTTGATTGGGTGTTTTAGCGGGGTGTCAATTATCCAGAGCGCAAAAACAGGCTACAGGGGGACGTACCTGGGGTGCGTGGGAGTGGGCAGCAAGGGCAGTGTGAAGCAAATCGAAGAAGCGATAAGGCGGCGGTTGGGGAGGGGCGGCGAGAAAAAAGAAGTGGTTTTTGAAATCGGGGAGATGAGCATTAAGATAGTGGATGCTGAGAGCAATAAAGTGAGTGTTTGACACGAAGTCTTTGAAATTTGACAGTTGAGTTTTTAGCCGCTGTTGAAACACTCGTACATGCAGATCTCGTCATGTGGGTCTGCGGTAAATTTGCCGAATTATGTGGCGTACATAGCGGGGTATTTTTATTAACGAGAATTTTCGTGCAATAATTCGGTGATTTTAGCGAGGAAAATTGCGACACGGCGTCCAATTTCGTTTGTTATATTTTTCACGTCAAGGATATTGAAGAAGCCGCGGTTATTTTACAAAGCATAGGTAATTTTTGAGTTTTCGGGTTTATTAAGAGACCCGGCGCCTCCACCAGAAATATATTTTAGTGTGTGTATGAGTTTCAGGACAGGGATTCTACAGGACCCATTTTGCCGTTTAATAAATGTCTCACGGGATGCGTTATATCTCCAAATAATCAAAATTCATGTAGAAACGTTTTTAAAATAAACTGCCACCCGAAAACTGAGGTTGACTAGAATGTTTTGTCGTTACAAGTGTTGAATTTTATTTTTTAAATAAATAAATACAGTAATGGAAGATGAGAGTCTCCGTTTTTCCCACCCTGCGATTTTTCGTGTCATTTCCAAAATAAAGTATGTTGACAGACGCTAAATCTTCAAAATCGGTTTTGTTAAGCGCTACGAAAATTCGAAAACGTAGGCACATATTAATAACGCCAGAATAATTTATATTTTGCCTTGTTTTTTTCCTTAATATACACTGCCATCTTTTCACAACATTGCCAACATTATGGGGCGGAGCTTATTGCAAAATTTTCCATTTTAAACATATTTTAAGTTTCATGTTGTGGAAACATGGCTATGTATATTAAGAAAAAAGAAACCAAAATATAAGCCCCGCCCACCCGCCCTATCTCAATTGTGATGATTTTTTTATTCACCGTGAACCAAGTGGGCGGAGCGTAACTGCAAAATACTTATGTCTTTATAAAAAATTAAAAACACGTTTTTGAGTATCGTGTTCAAAGAATGCCTTAAGAAAAAAAAGGCAAAATATAAACTCCGCCCCGAGGTCTGCCAACGAATGAAAACTTCATTACTACATATTTAGATCAAAGCAGGTATGGGTGGGGCTTAATCTTTGGCTTTAATTTTTTCTTAATATATGTACATAGTATTCTTTAACTTAGACGATACTCAAAAACAAGTCTTACATGGTCATTTCTTGTAGAGAATTAATAAGAATTTTGCAATTAAATTCCGCTCTTTGGCTCTCGACGATTAAGGAAAAAATCATCACAATTGCGATAGGGTGGGTGGGCGGAGCACATATTTGGCCTTTTTTCTTGTTACACGTAGTCGTCTCTTTAGAACAATAAACTTAAAACATGTTTAAAATGGTAAATTCGGTGATTTTAGCGAGGAAAATTGCGACACGGCGTCCAGTTTCGTTTGTTATATTTTTCACGTCAAGGATATTGAAGAAGCCGCTGTTATTTTACAAAGCATAGGTAATTTTTGCGTTTTCTGTTTTATCCGGCGCCTCCACCAGAAATATATTTTAGTGTGTGTATGATTTTCAGGACAGGGATTCTACAGGACCCATTTTGCCGTTTAAGCGTCCCACGGGATGCGTTGTATCTCCAAATAATCAAAATCTCATGTAGAAACGTTTTTAAAATAAACTGCCACCCGAAAACTGAGGTTGACCCTAATGTTTTGTCGTTACAAGTGTTGAATTTTATTTTTTAAATAAATAAATACAGTAATGGAAGATGAGAGTCTCCATTTTTCCCACCCTGCGATTTTTCGTGTCATTTCCAAAATAAAATACGTTGACAGACGCTAAATCTTCAAAGTCGGTTGTTTATAAGCGCAACGAAAATTCGAAAACGTAGGCACATATTAATAACGCCAGAATAAATTATATTTTGCCTTGTTTTTTTCCTTAATATACACTGCCATCTTTTCACAACATTGCCAACATTATGGGGCGGAGCTTATTGCAAAATTTTCCATTTTAAACATATTTTAAGTTTCATGTTGTGAAAAATGGCTATGTATATTAAGAAAAAAGAATGCAAAATATAAGCCCCGCCCACCCGCCCTATCTCAATTGTGATGATTTTTTTTATTCACCGTGAACCAAGGGGCGGAGCTCAAGTGCAAAATACTTATGTCTTTATTAGAAATTAAAAACACGTTTTTGAGTATCGTGTTCAAAGAATGCCTTAAGAAAAAAAAGGCAAAATATAAACTCCGCCCCGAGGTCTGCCAACGAATGAAAACTTCATTACTATTTAGATCAGGGTAGGTATGGGTGGGGCATAATCTTTGGCTTTATTTTTCTTAATATACCTAGTATTCTTTGAACAAGACGACACTTTAGTTCCTCGTAGACAAATAAGTATTTTGCAGTTAAGCTCCGCCCTCTTGGCTCACGACAAATAAAAAAATCATCACAATTGAGATAGGGTGGGTGGGCGGGGCTTGTATTATGCCTTGTTTTTTTCTTAATATACATTGCCAACATTATGGGGTGGAGCCTATTGCAACATTTTCCATTTTAAACATATTTTAAGTTTCATGTTGTGAAAACATGGCTATGTATATTAAGAAAAAAGAAACCAAAATATAAGCCCCGCCCACCCGCCCTATCTCAATTGTGATGATTTTTTTATTCACCGTGAACCAAGGGGGCGGAGCGTAACTGCAAAATACTTATGTCTTTATAAAAAATTAAAAACACGTTTTTGAGTATCGTGTTCAAAGAATGCCTTAAGAAAAAAAAGGCAAAATATAAACTCCGCCCCGAGGTCCGCCAACGAATGAAAATTTCATTACTACATATTTAGATCAAAGCAGCAATGGGTGGGGCTTAATCTTTGGCTTTAATTTTGTCTTAATATATGTACATAGTATTCTTTGACTAAGACGATACTCAAAAACAAGTCTTACATGGTCATTTCTTGTAGAGAATTAATAAGAATTTTGCAATTAAATTCCGCTCTTTGGCTCTCGACAATTAAGAAAAAATCATCACAATTGCGATAGGGCGGGTGGGCGGGGCACATATTTGGCCATTTTTCTTGTTACACGTAGTCGTCTCTTTAGAACAATAAACTTAAAACATGTTTAAAATGGTAAATTCGGTGATTTTGGCGAGGAAAATTGCGACACGGCGTCCAATTTCGTTTGTTATATTTTTTACGTCAAGGATATTGAAGGAGCCGCTGTTATTTTACAAAGCATAGGTAATTTTTGCGTTTTCAGTTTTACCCGGCCCCTCCACCAGAAATATATTTTAGTGTGTGTATGATTTTCAGGACAGGGATTCTACAGGACCCATTTTGCCGTTTAATAAGTGTCCCACGGGATGCGTTGTATCTCCAAATAATCAAAATCTCATGTAGAAACCTTTTTAAAATAAACTGCCACCCGAAAAGTGAGGTTGACCCTAATGTTTTGTCGTTACAAGTGTTGAATTTTATTTTTTAAATAAATAAATACAGTAATGGAAGATGAGAGTCTCCGTTTTTCCCACCCTGCGATTTTTCGTGTCATTTCCAAAATAAAATACATTGACAGACGCTAAATCTTCAAAGTCGGTTGTTTATAAGCGCAACGAAAATTCGAAAACGTAGGCACATATTAATAACGCCAGAATATAGTATATTATTAGCCAAGATTGCAGAGCCAAGCATTCTAGACCGAGCGCAAATTAGAACCCGAGACGCGCAGCGTCGAGGGCTCTAAGTGCGAGGTCTAGAAGTGGCTTTGCAACCGTGGTTAATATACTATTTTTTTCACTAGTAGAAACCATAAGACAATAAACTGAAAAATAAACGTTCAATTTTTTGACGCAACATGATTTTGTTTTGATTTCTAATCAAACTTGATCTAAATCTTCAACACAAAGAAAACCGTTTATACTTGTCGCTGAGTTAATCATTTTATCTTCTACCGTCTTCCAACTACCATGCGTATACTCAAGTAATGTTTGTAGCACACATTTGTTCATTTTTTAAGAAATAATCACATCAAACATTGCGTACATAACCTCAATTTTTCTTTTTGAACCGGTGGTAGCAAAAGTTGAATTTGCTACCACTAAATGAGTCGACATTTGCATGCGTTCAGGCTGCTAGTGAAAAAAATTATATTTTGCCTTGTTTTTTTCCTTAATATACACTGCCATCTTTTCACAACATTGCCAACATTATGAGGCGGAGCTTATTGCAAAATTTTCCATTTTAAACATATTTTAAGTTTCATGTTGTGAAAAAATGGCTATGTATATTAAGAAAAAAAAAATGCAAAATATAAGCCCCGCCCACCCGCCCTATCTCAATTGTGGTGATTTTTTTTACTTCCCGAGCGTAAGCAAAGGAAGTATTGTAATCGAGTCCGTCGGCCGACTCTACTTTTACGTTTTCTCGATCTTTCATGACCCCTAGAAGACGAAGAAATAGGTCTCCCATTTCCGTCTGTCTGTCCGTCTGTCCGTCTGTCCGTCTGTTGTCCCGGATTTTTATTAGACAGATAATCTCCGAAAGTACTCGACCGATTGTTGTGAAATTTTGTACTTATATTAAGAATATCATGTAGATGGTAAAACGCTAACCAAAATTTGTCTAATCATCCCCACCACTAATGCGATGACGTCACTTCAAAATTGTACATAGTAAATGGGTTTTCAATTGTATAAAATAACATAGTCCTACACATGTAGTTTACAACTCTGAATCGACTTTTCACCCGAAACGTCCAGATTTTTGGAAAAAAAATCAAAATTATAAAACAACATTTTGAAATTTATTTTTAATCTGCTAACCAGAATGCTTTGAAATGTTGCAGATGTTTTTAAGGCTATAAAGAGCATCATAAATCTTTAGTCAAAAAATATTTGCTTATCCCCTCCAAAAACTTGATGACGTCAGCTCAAAAGATTGTGGAATAAATCATATCTAAAATGTACAAAATATGATGAATCTGTACTTGTGATCTATCACTCCATTCATATTTTTTGGATTTGCATATACAGGGTGACTCAAAAAAATTAATGAATGCGTAAATATATTTTATTGATTTAATCAGGAACTACAAAACCGAGTGCTCTGAAATCTTGCAGATGTTTTAAGGTCATAAAGAGCATAATAAATGTTTAGTCAAAATATATTTGCTTATCCCCTCCAAAAACTTGATGACGTCAGCTCGAAAGTTTGCCGAATAAATCATATCTAAAATGTACAAAATATGATGAGCCTGTACTTGTCATTTATCACTCCATTCATATTTTTTGGTTTGCATATACAGAGTGACTCAAAAAAATTAATGAATGCGTAAATATATTTTATTGATTTAATCAGGAACTACAAAACGGAATGCTCTGACATCTTGCAGATGTTTTAAGGTTATAAAGAGCATAATAAATGTTTAGTCAAAATATGTTTGGTTATCTTCTACAAAAAACTGATGACGTCAGCTCAAAAGTTAGCGAATAAATCGTATCTAAAATGTACAAAATATGATGAGTCTGTACTTGTGATTTATCATTCCATTCATATTTTTGGATTTGCATATGCAGGGTGACTCAAAAAAATTAATGAAGGCGTGAATTTATTTTATCGATTTAATTAGGAATTACAAAACCGAATGCTTTGAAATCTTGGGAATATTTTAAAGTTATTATAAGCATGGTAAACTTTTGTTCAAAATGTATTTGTTCATCCCTCCTAAACAAATTGATGACGTCACCCTTAAATTTTGCTGAATAAATCCTATCTAAAATGCAAAAAATATGATGAGTTTGTACTTGTGATTTATCATTCCATTGATATTTTTTAGATTTTCTTAAGAGGTGGTTCAAAAAAATTAATGAAGTCAATTTATTTTATTGATTAAATTAAAGGCAACACTTATTATTAGTATTACACCTCAACCAACCCAATTTGGTAGACACAAAATTTGTTAAAGGAAAAACTCGGTTGAAACATAAGGGTAGCACGCTTATTTACATCGACGTTAACATTACAGACCTGCATTTGTTTTATGCGATCACTTGGTTCCGCGAATGTGAAATAGACATGTTTATAATCAACCAATTGTGAATTTCACCGTCAAGAATTAAAATAAAACCCAATGTTTTATATAATAAGCGGAAGTCGAAGCAATAAAACCGATGGTCGTTTTGTTTACAGTTTCTCTGTTTAACTCTCACGTATGCTGTTACGCTTGTCATCTTAAATTAAGAATGTTTATACATAAACGATTTTCAGTTGCCGTATACGTGAGTAAATTGTTTCGTTATTTTATTGATTCTAAAAAATCAATATTCAAAACGACCCAATTCATTTTCCCGAAAATTTGGGAATACAATAATTTTATTCTTAGTATTACACTACATCTATCCCAACTGATATACGTGTCCTTGCAAAAATGTTGACGTCATCGCAATTTTTTTTAAATTCCCACTACAAAAATGTAATGAGAAAAGAACACAATAACCATGCAGTCGTCAAGTTTCCGACAGCGAGGGAAGTACTGTCTAAACTCTTTAGACCAATTTTTTTATTCACCGTGAACCAAGGGGTGGAGCTTAACTGCAAAATACTTATGTCTTTATATGAAATTAAAAACACGTTTTTGAGTATCGTATTCAAAGAATGCCTTAAGAAAAAAAAGGCAAAATATAAACTCCGCCCCGAGGTCTGCCAACGAATGAAAACTTCATTACTATTTACATCAGGGTAGGTATGGGTGGGGCATAATCTTTGGCTTTATTTTTCTTAATATACTTAGTATTCTTTGAACAACACGACACTTTAGTTCCTCGTAGAGAAATAAGTATTTTGCAGTTAAGCTCCGCCCTCTTGGCTCACGACAAATAAAAAAATCATCACAATTGAGATAGGGTGGGTGGGCGGGGCTTATATTATGCCTTGTTTTGTTCTTAATATACATTGCCATATTTTCACAACATTGCCAACATTATGGGGCAAATTTCTATTGCAAAATTTTTCATTTTAAACATATTTTAAGTTTCATGTTGTGAAAACATGGCTATGTATATTAAGAAAAAAGAAACCAAAATATAAGCCCCGCCCACCCGCCCTATCTCAATTGTGATGATTTTTTTATTCACCGTGAACCAAGGGGGCGGAGCGTAACTGCAAAATACTTATGTCTTTATAAAAAATTAAAAACACGTTTTTGAGTATCGTGTTCAAAGAATGCCTTAAGAAAAAAAAAGGCAAAATGTAAACTCCGCCCCGAGGTATGGGTGGGGCTTAATCTTTGGCTTTAATTTTTTCTTAATATATGTACATAGTATTCTTTGACTAAGACGATACTCAAAAACAAGTCTTACATGGTCATTTCTTGTAGAGAATTAATAAGAATTTTGCAATTAAATTAGGACGGGTGGGCGGGGCACATATTTGGCCTTTTTTCTTGTTACACGTAGTCGTCTCTTTAGAACAATAAACTTAAAACATGTTTAAAATGGTAAATTCGGTGATTTAGCGAGGAAAATTGCGACACGGCGTCCAATTTCGTTTGTTATATTTTTCACGTTAAGGATATTGAAGAAGCCGCGGTTATTTTACAAAGCATAGGTAATTTTTGCGTTTTCAGTTTTATCCGGCGCCTCCACCAGAAATATATTTTAGTGTGTGTATGATTTTCAGGACAGGACCCATTTTGCCGTTTAATAAGTGTCCCACGTGATGCGTTGTATCTCCAAATAATCAAAATCTCATGTAGAAACGTTTTTAAAATAAACTGCCACCCGAAAACTGAGGTTGACCCTAATGTTTTGTCGTCACAAGTGTTGAATTTTATTTTTTAAATAAATAAATACAGTAATGGAACATGAGAGTCTCCGTTTTTCCCACCCTGCGATTTTTCGTGTCATTTCCAAAATAAAATACGTTGACAGACGCTAAATCTTCAAAGTCGGTTGTTTATAAGCGCAACGAAAATTCGAAAACGTAGGCACATATTAATAACGCCAGAATAAATTATATTTTGCCTTGTTTTTTTCCTTAATATACACTGCCATCTTTTCACAACATTGCCAACATTATGGGGCGGAGCTTATTGCAAAATTTTCCATTTTAAACATATTTTAAGTTTCATGTCGTGAAAAAATGGCTATGTATATTAAGAAAACACAAGGCAAAATATAAGCCCCGCCCACCCGCCCTATCTCAATTGTGATGATTTTTTTTATTCACCGTGAACCAAGTAGTGGAGCTTAACTGCAAAATACTTATGTCTTTATGAGAAATTAAAAACACGTTTTTGAGTATCGTGTTCAAAGAATGCCTTAAGAAAAAAAAGGCAAAATATAAACTCCGCCCCGAGGTCTGCCAACGAATGAAAACTTCATTACTATTTAGATCAGGGTAGGTATGGGTGGGGCATAATCTTTGGCTTTATTTTTCTTAATATACCTAGTATTCTTTGAACAACACGACACTTTAGTTCCTCGTAGAGAAATAAGTATTTTGCAGTTAAGCTCCGCCCTCTTGGCTCACGACAAATAAAAACATCATCACAATTGAGATAGGGTGGGTGGGCGGGGCTTATATTATGCCTTGTTTTGTTCTTAATATACATGCCATATTTTCACAACATTGCCAACATTATGGGGCGGAGCCTATTGCAAAATTTTCCATTTTAAACATATTTTAAGTTTCATGTTGTGAAAACATGGCTATGTATATTAAGAAAAAAGAATACCAAAATATAAGCCCCGCCCACCCGCCCTATCTCAATTGTGATGATTGTTTTATTCACCGTGAACCAAGGGGGCGGAGCGTAACTGCAAAATACTTGTCTTTATAAAAAATTAAAAACACGTTTTTGAGTATCGTGTTCAAAGAATGCCTTAAGAAAAAAAAAAGGCAAAATATAAACTCCGCCCCGAGGTCTGCCAAAGAATGAAAACTTCATTACTACATATTTAGATCAAAGCAGGTATGGGTGAGGCTTAATCTTTGGCTTTAATTTTTTCTTAATATATGTACATAGTATTCTTTGACTTAGACGATACTCAAAAACAAGTCTTACATGGTCATTTCTTGTAGAGAATTAATAAGAATTTTGCAATTAAATTCCGCTCTTTGGGTCTCGACGATTAAGAAAAAATCATCACAATTGCGATAGGGCGGGTGGGCGGGGCACATATTTGGCCTTTTTTCTTGTTACACGTATTCGTCTCTTTAGAACAATAAACTTAAAACATGTTTAAAATGGTAAATTCGGTGATTTTAGCGAGGAAAATTGCGACACGGCGTCCAGTTTCGTTTGTTATATTTTTCACGTCAAGGATATTGAAGAAGCCGCTGTTATTTTACAAAGCATAGGTAATTTTTGCGTTTTCAGTTTTATCCGGCGCCTCCACCAGAAATATATTTTATTGTGTGTATGATTTTCAGGATAGGGATTCTACAGGACCCATTTTGCCGTTAAATAAGTGTCCCACGGGATGCGTTATATCTCCAAATAATTAAAATTTTAAATAAATAAATACAGTAATGGAAGATGAGAGTCTCCGTTTTTCCCACCCTGCGATTTTTCGTGTCATTTCCAAAAAAAATACGTTGACAGACGCTAAATCTTCAAAGTCGGTTGTTTATAATCGCAACGAAAATTCGAAAACGTAGGCACTAATTAATAACGCCAGAATAAATTATATTTTGCCTTGTTTTTTTCCTTAATATACACTGCCATCTTTTCACAACATTGTCAACATTATGGGGCGGAGCTTATTGCAAAATTTTCCATTTTAAACATATTTTAAGTTTCATGTTGTGAAAAAATGGCTATGTATATTAAGAAAAAAGAATGCAAAATATAAGCCCCGCCCACCCGCCCTATCTCAATTGTGATGATTTTTTTTATTCACCGTGAACCAAGGGGTGGAGCTTAACTGCAAAATACTTATGTCTTTATAAAAAATTAAAAACACGTTTTTGAGTATCGTGTTCAAAGAATGCCTTAAGAAAAAAAAGGCAAGATATAAACTCCGCCCCGAGGTCTGCCAACGAATGAAAACTTCATTACTATTTAGATCAGGGTAGGTATGGGTGGGGCATAATCTTTGGCTTTATTTTTCTTAATATACCTAGTATTCTTTGAACAACACGACACTTTAGTTCCTCGTAGAGAAATAAGTATTTTGCAGTTAAGCTCCGCCTTCTTGGCTCACGACAAATAAAAAAATCATCACAATTGAGATAGGGTGGGTGGGCGGGGCTTATATTATGCCTTGTTTTGTTCTTAATATACATTGCCATATTTTCACAACATTGCCAACATTATGGGGCGGAGCTTATTGCAAAATTTTCCATTTTGAACATATTTTAAGTTTCATGTTGTGAAAACATGGCTATGTATATTAAGAAAAAAGAAACCAAAATATAAGCCCCGCCCACCCGCCCTATCTCAATTGTGATGATTTTTTTATTCACCGTGAACCAAGGGGGCGGAGCGTAACTGCAAAATACTTATGTCTTTATAAAAAATTAAAAACACGTTTTTCAGTATCGTGTTCAAAGAATGCCTTAAGAAAAAAAAAGGCAAAATATAAACTCCGCCCCGAGGTCTGCCAACGAATGAAAACTTCATTACTATTTAGATCAGGGTAGGTATGGGTGGGGCATAATCTTTGGCTTTATTTTTCTTAATATACCTAGTATTCTTTGAACAACACGACACTTTAGTTCCTCGTAGAGAAATAAGTATTTTGCAGTTAAGCTCCGCCCTCTTGGCACACGACAAATAAAAAAATCATCACAATTGAGATAGGGTGGGTGGGCGGGGCTTATATTATGCCTTGTTTTGTTCTTAATATACATTGCCATATTTTCACAACATTGCCAACATTATGGGGCGGAGCCTATTGCAAAATTTTCCATTTTAAATATATTTTAAGTTTCATGTTGTGAAAACATGGCTATGTATTTTAAGAAAAAAGAAACCAAAATATAAGCCCCGCCCACCCGCCCTATCTCAATTGTGATGATTTTTTTATTCACCGTGAACCAAGTGGGCGGAGCGTAACTGCAAAATACTTATGTCTTTATAAAAAATTAAAAACACGTTTTTGAGTATCGTGTTCAAAGAATGCCTTAAGAAAAAAAAAGGCAAAATATAAACTCCGCCCCGAGGTCTGCCAACGAATGAAAACTTCATTACTACATATTTAGATCAAAGCAGGTATGGGTAGGGCTTAATCTTTGGCTTTAATTTTTTCTTAATATATGTACATAGTATTCTTTGACTAAGACGATACTCAAAAACAAGTCTTACATGGTCATTTCTTGTAGAGAATTAATAAGAATTTTGCAATTAAATTTCGCTCTTTGGCTCTCGACGATTAAAAAAAAATCATCACAATTGCGATAGGGCGGGTGGGCGGGGCACATATTTGGCCTTTTTTCTTGTTACACGTAGTCGTCTCTTTAGAACAATAAACTTAAAACATGTTTAAAATGGTAAATTCGGTGATTTTAGCGAGGAAAATTGCGACACGGCGTCCAATTTCGTTTGTTAAATTTTTCACGTCAAGGATATTGAAGAAGCCGCGGTTATTTTACAAAGCATAGGTAATTTTTGCGTTTTCAGTTTTATCCGGCGCCTCCACCAGAAATATATTTTAGTGTGTGTATGATTTTCAGGACAGGGATTCTACAGGACCCATTTTGCCGTTTAATAAGTGTCCCACGGGATGCGTTATATCTCCAAATAATTAAAATTTTAAATAAATAAATACAGTAATGGAAGATGAGAGTCTCCGTCTTTCCCACCCTGCGATTTTTCGTGTCATTTCCAAAATAAAATACGTTGACAGACGCTAAATCTTCAAAGTCGGTTGTTTATAAGCGCAACGAAAATTCGAAAACGTAGGCACATATTAATAACGCCAGAATAAAGATCGTTTCAGGTTGAATGCGCCCCTTTTAATGTCCCGAAACTGTTCCATTAAAACGTCGACATTTTCCAATAATAATTACGAATGAGACGAAATGTTTGCGATATTTACATAGCATTCATGACAATAAAACTCTGACGGAATTACAAAGAACCTGTGGGTTTATAACCGAGAATGCAACTTTATTGGAAATAATATTGAAAGGTTTTTTATACACTTTCGCTCCCAGAAGTATTCCTGCGTTATGTTTGGGTATGTTTTGTCAGTGACGGCGTGCAAGGGGGATTTGGGGCGCTGCAACAAACCAAATTTTATTATTCATCTCGTCCAAAAAACTGGTGACGTCATGTCAACATTTTGTCGACTATAAATTCAACCTTTTCGCTTTTAAAACAAATTGTGTGGTCTACCTTCGTCAAAAAAACTTCTAATACCATGTTGGTTTGTCTGTCTGCCTGTCTGGGGTGCACCTGGCCCGGATCAACCGCTTGAAACTTCGCATACGTTTTCCCTCCACCACAACCCTTCCGACAAAAAATAGCCACCCAGCTAAATCATCAGCATTATTCATAAACATAACTACACATTCCACATTAGCGTTATCAGATTCCTCCACATTGCGACAGAGAAAGCGCACATTCGAATCCGTCCGAATCCCGAGTCCTAAGTGCTCGGTTTAACGTCGCTTTTCATTCAGTTTCAGTTGTATTCTGGCAGCGAGCTTCCAGGGAGCTTTTTCACGTGCGTCCAGAGCAGCGCTCGTGCGGTCGGGAAGTACACAACTTTTGCGTCTTAAAACTCCTTCAGAAGCCAAAAATGAGTGGCGATTTTGGCCGTGGTTTACGCACGTCCTCGAAAAAAACTCACTGAAGTGTGGAAAATGACCGGGAAAGCCAAGTGAGGCAGGAACATGCACAGATTAGGGGTTGTTCTTCTTGTGTTCAATGTTCTGAATGTTTCGTTGGGAATACTCAACTCAGGTGAGTTTTGGAAAAGGGGGTGGATTTGGCGGAGCTAACTGGTGTGTGGGTTTGGCAGCTGGGATTAAATTAAAAGTTTTGTCGTTGTTTTTCTCATTAAACTACAGTTTAAGAGTGGAATTGAAGTGACAACAAAATTTGAATTTATTTTCTATGAAATTAAAAAAAAAAGTTTTCAGTGTACGATTTTCTGGGGGCCACCGTGGTCCCACCTTGTATTCGCTTTTTGTGAGCGACTTACCAGTAGCTATAAAATCGTGCAAAATTAAGCGCTCACGCAAAAAGTGTGTATTTTGATTGTAGATTTACTAAATACACCCATTACGATTTTGTTCCCGCGGATTTTGCGGTTTCCCGAATTCCAGGTGTACGAAATTTACGAGCTTCCAAAAACAGCAAATTTGTGTGAAATTGGAATTTATTATTTTTCTAAATTAACTCCCTGATGATTTTAAACTAATAAAGCAGCCGTCTGTATGAAAATGCTGCGTTCATGATACCGGAGTAAAATGAAAATGTGGATAACGTCTCGCATCAATTTCCATTGATCTGATGTCCTTTCCTTAAGTACTTGTGTAGCAATAAACCAGAATAAAATGTCGAAATTTACGATATCGTCGTGTGCGCGTATATCCATACGAATAAACTATAAAACTGGTGCGGTTTTACATTTGCTCTTCTTCTCGTAAAAGTGTGCTTTCTTCCTTTGTACGTTTTTAGTGTTTTTGCAGCGATCATTGTTGCGACCAACAATCCAACATTGCGCCGAATGTAAAAAATATCGGATGGTCGTTGTCGGGGTCGTTATGGAGCCACTCGGAACGGGATATTTGTATTAAATTATTAAAATAAATAACACAACGGAGTTTAATAAAAGCAGAACTCTAGTCATGAATGCAAATTTGCTTTGTGTGTTTTATATGGTAATTAGGCCCGAAACTCTAGCAAAACAAACCCCAAACATGTTATGTCCCGATCATTTTTGCGGTGTCATTTTTCCACGCTCCATTTAGTTCCTGCCGTACTTGCCGTATATCAAATAATTAAAACTTAATAACGATAATTACGTAATGAATTTATAGTTAACTGGATTAATTTTCGGAGTGACGTTCCACTCTGGCGTGGGATTCACTTTTATAAGGGCATTATTAGTGAAGAAAATTGGAGATATCGCCACACGGGCGATAACAAACTGCGCCGGTTTAGCCCATTTGTGGATAAAAGAGAATGCCATCTGCGCCGATTTTAGTTACTACGGTGAATTTTGCCTTGAATCGTCTGGCTTTTTTGTTTCTCAGTCGCGAAACAAAATATCTGAAACGGGATCGCGGTTGTTTACAACTTGCTAACAACGCGTTTAAATGGGTCTTTAAAAAGACCGGTTTTTGTTAATCAACGGGCCGAAAACAAAGGGCACGTGGATGAAGCAAGGGTTCGACGGTATTTACACTGTGAAAATTGTTTCTAGTTTTAATTTTCAGTCAGTCTTTCACTGTTTACATTAAAAATGACTTAACTTAATATGATAAATTTCATTTTTCATTAGGGATTTTTGCATGTGCGAAATTGGTTGCCAACCAAATTAGTAGATTATTAGTTATGGGGCGGAGCCTAATAAAAAATCGATATTTTCCTATTCAAATTTTCCATTTTAAACATGTTTTAAGTTTCATCTTGTGAAAAGAAGTCTACACATATTAAAACAGAGAGGCAAAATGGAAGCCCGCCCACCCGCCCTATCTCGATTGTAATGATTTTTTTATTCGCCGTGAATCAAGGGGGCGAAGCTTAACTGGAAAGTGCTTACGTGTTTACAAGAAATTAAAAACATGTTTTTGAATTTCGTGTTGGTCAAAGAATATTACGTACATTAAGGAAAAAAAGTAAAATATAAACCCCGCCCATCCATCCCAATGAAAATTGATAACCTTCAACACTGGGTAATTGAAAAATAGAAAAAATGTAAAATTATAAAACACAAAATTAAAAAAAAATCGCAAAATTAGAAAAACTGTAAATTTGATAAATCGAAAAATGGTAAAATTACGAAGCTGAGAACTCAAAAACTTGAAAAATTGAAAATCGAAATTTTAAAAATTAAAAATCAAAAAATTGCAAAACCGAAGCAATGAGATTGAAAAATCAACAACTGAATAATTTAAAAAACGAAAAATTATAAAATTGAAAATTGCGAAACTGATTAATTAAAAATATATTAATTAAAAATCGAATAATTGCAACATCCAAAAATTGTAAAATTGCAAAGTAAAATTGAAATTTTGAATAATTAAAAATCAAAAAATCGAAAAATTTTAAAATTACAAATTTAAAAGATTGTGAAATTACAAAAATGAAAACATTGGGTAATTTAACCTCGAAAATTATTAACTTGTAAAATGAAAAATCGAAAAATTAAAAATTTTGGTATTCCAAAAGCGAAAAATTGAAAAATCGAGAAATTGGAAACTCTGATCATAATTGAGAAATCAAAAATTGGGAAACTGTTTCATTAAAAAAAGATTAACTGAGAAATCGAAAAATTGTCAAATTACAAAACTAAAATATCGTGTAATTGCAACATTGAGAAATTGAAAAAATCAGACAGTTGCAAAATTGTCAAATTACAAAATTTAAAAATCGAAATATGAAATTAAATAATCAAAAATTGAATAATTGAAAAAACAAAGAATTCTAAAAACAAAAATAATCAAATTGAAAATTGAGAAATTGATTAAAATCGAAAAATAGAAAAATCCGATACTTTTGACAATGAAAAGTTATAAAATAAACTGAAAAAGTAAAATGGAACTTTTGAATTCGAAAATTTATAAAACTGTAAAAATGATAAATTGCTAAATTATTAAATTGAAAGTCGAATAATTGAAAAAATGTTTCATTAAAAACTGGGCAATTGAGAAATCGAGAAATTACAAAAATATAAAACTAAAAAATTTAAAAAATGCAAAATTACAAAACTCGAAAATCGTATAATTTTAACATTGAAGAATAGAAAAACAGATTTTTTTTATCCTTAGAAACTTAAAACACGTTTAAAATGGCAAATTTTTGTAAGGATATATGGATTTTGCAATTAGGCTCCTCCCCTAGGTCTGCCAACGAATGAAAACTCCATTACTGTTTAGATCAGGGCCGGTATGGGTGGGGATTAATCTTTGGCTTTATTTTTCTTAGTATACCTAGTCTTCTTTGAACAACACGACACTGAAAAATATGGCTTAGGTTCCTCGTAGAGAAATAAGGATTTTGCAGTTAAGCTCCGCCCTCTTGGCTCACGACAAATAAAAAAAATCATCACAATTAGGATAGGGTGGGTGGGCGGGGATTATTTTGTGCCGTGTTTTTTCTTAATATACATTGCCATCTTTTCACAACATCGCCAACATTATGGGGCGGAGTCTATTCCAAAATTTTCCATTTTAAACATATTTTAAGTTTCATGTTGTGAAAAACTGGCTATGTATATTAAGAAAAAAGGAAGCAAAATATAAGCCCCGCCCACCCGCCCTATCTCAATTGTGATGATTTTTTTTTATTCACCGTGAACCAAGGGGGCGGAGCTTAACTGCAAAATACTTACGTCTTTATAAGAAATTAAAAACACGTTTTTGAGTATCGTGTTTTTCAAAGAATACGATGTAGCTTAAGAAAAAAAGACAAAATATAAACCCCGCCCGCCCACCCCATCTTAATTGTGATGATTTTTTTTATTCTTAGAAACATAAAACACGTTTAAAATGGAAAATTTTTGTAAGGATATATGGATTTTGCAATTAGGCTCCTCCCCTAGGTCTGCCAACGAATGAAAACTCCATTACTGTTTAGATCAGGGCCGGTATGGGTGGGGATTAATCTTTGGCTTTATTTTTCTTAATATACCTAGTCTTCTTTGAACAACACGACATTGAAAAATATGGCTTTAGTTCCTCGTAGAGAAATAAGGATTTTGCAGTTAAGCTCCGCCCTCTTGGCTCACGACAAATAAAAAAAATCGTCACAATTAGGATTGGGTGGGTGGGCGGGCCATATATTTTCCCTTGTTTTTTCTTAATATACATTGCCATCTTTTCACAACATTGCCAACATTATGGGGCGGAGCCTTTTGCAAAATTTTCCATTTTAAACATATTTTAAGTTTCATCTTGTGAAAAAATGGCTATGTATATTAAGAAAAAAGGAAGCAAAATATAAGCCCCGCCCACCCGCCCTATCTCTATTGTGATGATTTTTTTTATTCACCGTGAACCAAGGGGGCGGAGCTTAACTGCAAAATACTTATGTCTTTATAAGAAATACAAAACACGTTTTTGAGTATCGTGATGTTCAAAGAATACGATGTAGCTTAAGAAAAAAAGACAAAATATAAACCCCACCCACCCACCCCATCTCAATTGTGATGATTTTTTTTATTCTTAGAAACTTAAAACACGTTTAAAATGGCAAACTTTTGTAAGGATATATGGATTTTGGAATTAGGCTCCTCCCCTAGGTCTGCCAACGAATGAAAACTTCATTACTGTTTAGATCAGGGCAGGTATGGGTGGGGCTTAATCTTTGGATTTATTTTTCTTAATATACCTAGTCTTCTTTGAAAAACACGACACTGAAAAATAGGTCTTTAGTTCCTCGTAGAGAAATAAGGATTTTGCAGTTAAGCTCCGCCCTCTTGGCTCACCACAAATAAAAAAAATCATCACAATTGAGATAGGGTGGGTGGGCGGGGCTTATATTTTGCCTTGTTTTCTCTTAATATACATTGCCATCTTTTCACAACATTGCCAATATTATGGAGCGGAGCGTATTATTGCAAAATTTTCCATTTTAAACATATTTTAAGTTTCATGTTGTGAAAAAATGCCTATGTATATTAAGAAAAAAGAAGACAAAATATAAACCCCGCCCACCCACCCCATCTCAATTTTGATGATTTTTTTATTCTTAGAAACTTAAAACACGTTTAAAATGGCAAATTTTTGTAAGGATATATAGATTTTGCAATTAGGCTCCTCCCCTAGGTCTACCAACGAATGAAAACTTCATCACTCTTTAGATCAGGGCAGGTATGGGTGGGGCTTAATCTTTGGTTTTAATTTTTTCTTCATATATGTACATAGTATTCTTTGAATAAGACGATACTCAAAAACATGTTTTACATGGTAATTTTTTGTAGAGAAATACCTAATCAGAATTTTGCAATTAAATTCCGCTCCTTGGCTCTCGACGATTAAGAAAAAATCATCACAACTGAGATAGGGCGGGTGGGCGGGGCATATATGTGGTCTGTTTGCTTGCTATACGTAGTCGTCTCTTTAGAATGGTAAATTCTTCTAGACAAATATGGATCTTGCAATTACGCCCCGCCCCTCGATTTGAAAACAAATGAAAAATTCATCACAATTGAGAAGTGAGTTCGGGGCGGGTATGGGTGTGGCCTAATCTTTGCTTTATTTTTTTCTTAATATACATAGTATTTTTTAACAACACGATACTCAAAAACATATTTTTAATTTGTCGTTGAGAAATAAGGATTTTGCAGTTGAGCTCTGCCTTCTTGGCTAACGACGAATAAAAAAATTCATTACAATTGGGATAGGGCGGGTGGGCGGGGCATATTTTTGGCCTTTTTTTCTCTTAATATACATAATCATCTTTTTAAAAAAACAAACTTAAAAGATGGTTAAAATGGTACATTTTTGCAAAGAAATATGCATTTTGCAATTAAGGGGCGGAGCCTAATTGCAAAATTGATATTTCCTTATACAAATTATCCATTTTAGACATATTTTAAGTTCCATGTTTTGAAAAAAGGTCTACATATATTAAAACAAAAAGGTAAAATGTCAGCCCGCCCACCCGCTCTGTCTCAATTGTGATGATTTTTTTTATTCGCCGTGAACCAAGAGGGTGGAGCTTAACTGCAAAATACTTACTTCTTTACAAGGAATTACCATGTTTTTGAGTAGCGTGTTGTTTAAAGAATAATATGAACACAAAGAAAAAAAGGCAAAATAGAAACCCCGCCCACCCACCCCATCCCATTTGTGATAATTTTTTTATTCTTAAAGACTTAAAACACGTTTAAAATGGTAAATTAGGCTCCTCCCCTAGGTGTACCAAGGAATGAAAACTTCATTACTATTTAGATCAGGGCAGGTATGGGTGGAGCTTTATTTTTTATTTTTTTTAATATACTATAATAGTGTTCTTTGAATAATATGATACTCAAAAATATGCCTTCCATGGTAATTTCTTGTAGAGAAATAGTAAGGATTTTGCAATTAAGTTCCGTTCCTTTGGCTCTCGGCGATTAAAAAAAAAAAAAATCATCACAATTGAGATCGGGCGGGTGGGCGGGGCTAATATTTTGCCTTTTTTCTTAATATACGTAGTCGTCTTTTCAAAGCAAGAAACTTAAAACATGCTTAAAATGGTAAATATGACAAATATGGATACTGCAATTAAGCCGCGCCCACTCGATCTGACAACGAATGAAAAATTCATCGCAACTGAGAATTGAGATCGGAGCAGGTATGGGTGGGGTTCAATCTTTGGCTTTATTTTTCTTAATAATAAATATAGTATTCTTTGAACAAGACGATACTCAAAAACATGTTTTTAAATTTGTCGTGGAGAAATAAGGATTTTGCAGCTAAGCTCCGCCCTTTTGGCTCACGACGAATAAAAAAATCGTCACAATTGAGATAGGGCGGGTGGGCGGGGCTACATTTTGCCTTGTTTTCTTAAAATGTGTAGACTGATTTCGCCAACAATAAACTTAAAACATTTCTTCTACAACCTCTTTCTACAAGAATTTAACACCAAAGTTACTAGCAACGGGAGCTTCAACGTCAATAGCAATTTTAGAAATCCCACTTTAACGTACTGATAATTGTGTATTATTTATATTTTTATATTAAAAACGTGGCCCTCCATGATGACATCGGGATGTAATTAATTAGTAATTTATTGGGGTTTTATGTGAGGAGAACACTGAATTATTTAATAGTTTATCGAATTTAGCACACGCAATATACCAGAGAGAAGCATACTTAAATCCGTTAATTAGTGGCTGTTAAATAATTAATGGTTACTTTTAATAATTAATTTTAATTATCAAACAAAGGTTTATATTTTCAACTTTAATAAGTGTATGTAGCTAGTTTTTCGCGTCGATCCTCGTAAATGTTTTTATTTTATACGCACTTTTACAGCTCCATCTGTTCGGTAAACGCAATATAGTGTTATTCTATCATTTTTCCTTTTCAATCATCGCCACAATTCGTCCACGACGTGGACAACTCCAGCCAGCAGAACAAAATCGGTTATACTTTTATTGTCCTCGTGTCCGTAATGTCGGTATGCATTACACAAACCGCTGTCGTGTTTGCGTTGTACGTTAATAAATTGGGACTCTGTTATCCAGAACGAATATGTTGCTCTCGACCATCTATAATTCAAGTTCCAGTCAGGTTGTGAGCGGTATTAAACAATGTGGGCTAATCAATCACCATCCACCATCCGGCTCAATGCTGATGGAGATTCCTACTCTTTGCATAACTAGCAGGAAAAAGGCATTAACTATACCGAGTTTTGTTGTTCTGCTTTCAGGGCCAAATTTCGGGAACGAAGAGGTTTTGATTGTGCCCAGATTCGTGTCAAGAGCGAACACGTTTCGAGTGGTCATCGGGGACACGATTGTGCTGCCGTGCGAAGTCCAGAATTTAGGTGAGGCTTTAGTGTGGTGATTGCTGGGAGCGGGTTTTTATGGAAATGGGGCTCTAATGACGGATCGGTGCGTAATGACGCCGATTACGAGCGGGTGCAATATTTGTTATTAGTACATGTTGGGTGCAATAGTGGATTTTTGGGGTCGTCGAAAAATTCGCATCGAAATTCTGCAAATTAGGGCCGAATAGGGCGTTGGCAGTGGCGACTGTTATTCGTAACGACCGCTTGCACAGTAACCCGTTATGGTCGCTTTACAAGCATTTCAATTAAAGTTGGACGTTGAAATAGGAGGGATTTTGCATTCTCCCCGAAGTTGGAAATTGCTTCAATTGCAATCGTACTAAATTAATAGTCATGATTAGTAAGTCGGCGCGTTTCGCCTCGTCTGGATTAATTCAACTTGGCGAAATTATTAAAAATGTCCTCGAGATGACCGGCGGACAATTAAAAATGGAAGCGGCGGGGCTTTATGCCACAAATTTACGAACGCGGATAACGGGATATTCCATTTGGGGATGCTTTTGTGAACGGCAGTCCCCGCTTTATTTTAACCACTGAAATTTGCATACAAATTAAAACCTGGCCTCAGCACTACTCCCCCATGTAGTAAAGTTAACCAAGATAAAACAGAAATTGAAATAAAAAAATAAAACATTATTGCGAATGCCGGAGCATAAATAACTGCGAGTCAAAGCGTATTGTTTGTTCTCTTTCTGTCTTTCGCACAATTGGACTTTAATTAGTGCGTGTGTGTGCGTCGGGACGGGGTTGTGCGGACGAGGACACAGCTCAATGCGGAATATCGCCACTTGGGTGCTTCGATAGATTGTCAAGAACCCAATATGGCGATGGAGCTGTCAAAAAAGGGACACTTTAAACTTTAAACCCGTCAAACTGTACTGTAGTCTTGGATTATTACAGTGTCAAACGACCAGATTCCCTTTGTTTGAATACACACGTGTAATGTAATCAGAAGACACAAAGAATCACAGTTGAATAAATAACTATATTGTCTGTGTGACAGTACGTACGTTCTACAGGTCACGTGAAATTAATTCCACTGTACTCCAGTAAAATAATCATTTGATTTGCCACAAAGCGAATTTCTATGATGTATTGTCTGATTACTAAAATTGGACCCGGAGGACGGCGTAATAGTCAAATCTGTCTTTTGGTGCAATTAATATTAGCACTAAAGTGCCAACTACGGTTAAATTGTGTCCAGTTGTATTAGTGACAATTAGGTGGAGATTCTCTGACTGCGTAACTTTTATTGTACTCTACATACAACAGCGGAAATTAGAGAAAGTTGTATGCTTAAGTTTTCAAAAACTAATAAACGGCAGCCGTTCATTCTTGAATAAAAAAGTGGACCTGCAAAATAATTGGATCCACGAAATTAATATCTCCGAAACGTGGACTTGTTAAAAAAAAGCGACAAAAAGAGCGACACTTCTTAGCAACGACAAATTACTCGACGAGCGAATTTTCATTTTCTGTAATAAACAAAACTTTTTTAAATAACATACTTTCTCCAAAGCTGCGAAAAACAACGCAGAAAATTGCTCAAAGGACAACGAAATTAACGAACATGTGGCACGTGAAGGTGTGTCAGAGAGTGTTAGAGCGATGACAGTTTGGAGTTTCAACAACAGTGACCCTTAATAGTCATCCACGGTTGGTTAAAAATTCACGAAAATTTCTGGGAGATTGATTTCGACGAGCTTATAAAAGAGTCTGTAGGAAAAGGTAAACTTACCCGCCCCCCCCCCACACCCGTTCTCTAATTTTTTTTCTTCTGAAATATACCGAAAAAATTACGATTAGCACTTTTTTTTACTTTTTTCACATCATAGGTTCTATTAGTTGACACTCCCATTCGACAGAAGAACATAATTAGCCCTGGCCACCCCCCCTGCCTTCTTTTCAGTGATTAATTTTATCTGATATGAATGAAATGAATGATCTTATACTGAACAGAAATAAAATTAGTCGTTGGAATGAGAAAAAGGGGGTGGGTGGGGCTAGTACTTGCTAAGATAAGACTGTTTTTGGCAAATGACATTCTCTCTAAGAAAATAGAGGGTGGGTGGGCGGGGCAAATATTTGATACGACAGGATTAATTTTGACACTTTTGATATTTTCGACCATTTTTCAACTATTTTCGATTTTCTTGTAGATTTCTATATCCAGAAGTCATTTTCAGCTTCGTTTCTTCGGAAATTCCTACCGTTTTTCCAAAATCGCTAATTGAATTATAGCAATTTTTACAGTTGCGGTTAATTAATGTCCTTTGTGGTTTTTAGATATTCACAGAAATGTTTAGAATTCATTTATTTGAGACAACAGAGAAGTCAGAACCGGTCCGGTCACGTTAGGTCAAGTTAGGTCAGGTGCATGAAATAAGAAATAAATTTTATAGCATATAGTATCATAAAAAAAATACAATTAGCGCTTTTTTTACTTTTTTCACATCCTAGATTCTATTATTGGTTGCCACTCACACTCGACAGAAGAACATAATTGACCCCGCCCACCCACCCGTTCTCTAATTTTTTTTCTTCTGAAATAAGAAATTAATATCATAGCGAATCGTATACCGAAAAAATGACGATTAGCATTTTTCTTTTGGTTTTTAACAGCCTACGTTCTATTAGTTCCCATTCCCATTCTACAAGAGAACATATAATTAGCCCCGCCCATCACCCCGCCTCCATTTCAGTGATTCATTTTATCTAGTCTGAGTGAAAGATGGATCTTATACTGAATAGAAATTAAATCGTTAGAATGAGAATAGCGCTGGTAGGCGGGGTTAGTACCTGTTAAGATAAGATTGATTGTGGCACCCAACATACTTTCTAAGAAAATAGAGAGCGGGTGGGCGGGGCTAAAACTTGGTAAGATAACACTGAATAATATTAAGAATAGTCACTGGATTGAAGATGAGGTGGGTGGGTGGGGCTACTGTTTGTTCATAGAATTAGAAATAAGGTAAATTTTGCCCCGCCCACCTCTTTTCTCCATTTCACTGACTTTATTTAGTGTAAAATGGAATTTGAAAACTAACAGTATGGTATTCCCAAAATTTTCTGGGAAAAACGTTCCTGACTTAATAAAAAAATAAATAAATAAAGAAATTGACTCATTCATAAATTTTTTTGAGCCACCTGTTTAAGCAAATCAAGAAAAATACGATGCCTCTGATAAATCACAAGTATAAACTCATCATATTTTGGACACTTTGGGTAGAATTTATTCGGCATTTTCCTAGAAAATTTTGGGAGTACAATACTGTTATTTTTCAATTTCCATTTTACACTAAATAAAATAAGTCAGTGAAATGGAAAAAGAGGTGGGCGGGGCTTTTTCTAGTTTTATGAACAAGCAGCAGCCCCGCCCACCCACCCCCTCTTTATTCCAGTGATTACTCTTAATATTGTTCAGTTATTTATCAAAATCAATCTTATTTTAACAAATACTAATCGTAACTAATTAATCGTATTTTTTTTTGTTATACTACTTATTTGTTATAAAATTTATTTCTTATTTCTGAAGAAAAAATGAGAGAACAGGTTGGTGGGCGGGGCTAAGTTTAACTTTTCCAACAGGTTCTTTTATAAGCAAGTAGAGTAGCCCCGCCCACCCACCCCCTCTATATTTCAGTGATTACTCTTGATATTGTTCAGTCATTTACCAAAATCAATCTTATTTTAACAAATACTAATCGTAACTAATCAATCGTAATTTTTTTTGTTATACTACTTATTTGTTATAACATTTATTTCTTATTTCTGAAGAAAAAATGAGAGAACGGGTGGGTGGGCGGGGCTAAGTTTAACTTTTCCTACAGAATCTTTTGCAAGTAGTAGCCCCACCCACCGACCCCTTCTTCGTACCAGTGACCACTCTTAATATTGTTCAGTCCTGTTTTAGTAAGTTTAAGCCCCACCCACCCACTCTTTTTTTCTTAGAGGATATGTTATTTGCCAAAATCAATCTTATCTTAACAAGTACTAGCCACCATTTTTGAGCCACCTGTTTAAGCAAATGAAAAAAAAACGAATGCAATGATAAATCACAAGTAACAACTCATCATATTTTGCACATTTTGGGTAGAATTTATTCGGCAAAATTTTAAAATAAAAATAAGATTGATTTTGGTAAACGACTGAACAATATTAAGAGTAATCACTGCAATAAAGAGGGGGTGGGTGGGCGGGGCTACTGCTTGCTTATAAAAGATTCTGTAGGAAAACTTAAACTTAGCCCCGCCCACCCACCCGTTCTCTCACTTTTTCTTCAGAAATAAGAAATACGTGTTACAACAAATAAGTAGTATAACAAAAAATTACGTTTAATTAGTTACGATTAGTATTTGTTAAAATAAGATTGATTTTGATAAACGACTGAACAATATTAAGAGTAATCACTGGAATAAAGAGGGGGTGGGTGGGCGGGGCTACTGCTTGCTTATAAAAGATTCTGTAGGAAAAATTAAACTTAGCCCCGCCTACCCACCCGTTCTCTCACTTTTTCTTCAGAAACTAATGTATCCTCTACGAAAAAAAAGGGTGGCTGGGCGGGGCTAAAACTTGCCAAGATAAGACTGAATAATATTAAGAGTATTCACTGGATCGAAGAAGTAGGTGGGCAGAGCTACTGTTTGTTCATTGAACTATTCATTGAACTAGAAGTAAACTAAATTTTGCCCCGCCCACCTCTTTTCTCCATTTCACTGACTTTATTTAGTGTAAAATGGAATTTGAAAAATAGCAGTATTGTATTCTCAAAATTTTCTGGGAAAAACGTTCCTGACTTAATAAAAAAAAAAAAATGACTCATTCATTATTTTTTTTGAACCACCTGTTTAAGCAAATCAAAAAAAAAAAAACGTATCTACCGATAAATTACAAGTATAAACTCATCATATTTTGCACACTTTGGGTAGAATTTATTCGGCATTTTCCTAGAAAATTTTGGGAGTACAATATTGTTA